GATTGATGGTAAATCCTGGCATGAATTTTCTTGTGAAAGAAATTTGCTCTGGTGCTATAGCTCTTATAATTTATCTACATGCAAATTACCCCATGTCACCCATTAAGATGTAAGTAAAAAATGGTCAGTATATACCAAAATATGTTTCTGTTCAGGAAGAAAAGGACCAAGATAAATAATGAAAGGTGTAACATATATAGCACACCCTGCCTTGGTGTCTAGCCTGCCACCATTCTATGAGCTATCTGTTAAATCCAAGAGCATCTTGCCTTTTTATGGACAATTCAGATTCAGTATCCATGACTTCCTGTAACAGTAATCCCTAAAGAACTTGCTTAGTCCTTGTATTTTGTATGCTTTTATTTCTATCTTTTAATACTTTGCACACCTAGCAAGGGCAAAGCTCTTTCAGTTCAAGGTGACTTTCATATTAGATCAATGAAAACAGCAGAAGAGAATAAACAGGCAGCATCTGTGGGTGGTAAACAAATGCACTATGCATTAAAATACTTTCAGTACAAAACCAGGCTCTGCAGACAGGTGGAGAAGGTTGAAAACATGAAGTATAGTAGAAAGAAAACAAAAATCAATTCTGCTATATTTGTCATCTGTATTCACTGCATTGTCTGAATTTACTCATACATTTCTTGGTTAATGACTTTGGTTTCCATTTCGTCTATGAAAAGTGAGTAGATTCACAGCATGTTGTATTAGAAAGAGCATGGGGAGATGGTGATTCTCTGAATTTCTGGCATGTGAGGAGACCATCTCCCCCCAGGACCCCCTGTCACGTTCCCAGCACAGTCCCACTGTCCCAGGCAGCAGGGGAGCAGAGCTCCAAGGCCCGAAGAGCCAGAGGCTGCAGCAGCACCCACCCGGAGCGCAGCAGGGGCAGCGACACTGGCTGTGCCTTCAGGCTGGGGCTGGCAGGACACTCCAAGGAAGGTGTCATGTCAGTGATCTGTCTGGGGAGAATGCTGGGCTTGAAAAGTCATCATCCCCAAATATTTATTACTTACTGCTGTCCCAGATTCTGTTTCCAAGCACAAGCACCCAAGCTCTACATTAACTCTGAGCCCACGAGCAGCTGTGTAGCACCAGTATTGTAGAGTGGGTCTTAAACCAGTGCAGGCTTCCTGTCTGGGCTGATCAATGCAGCATCAGTGCTGCAACAGCCACTGCCAGGTGGCTTCTGGTTGACTCAGGGGACTGACTGAGCTGTTTGCAAAAAAAAATCTGCATACATACCACATAAAACAAAGGTGAGATGTGCAGGGATCTCCATTCTCCTCATCACTGTCTGATGTAGCAAAAACTCAGCTTACAGTCACAAATCTGAGCTCAAGATCAGTGCATGCAGGTAGTTGTCACTACATGCCAAAGCCTGTGTCAAATTTCCCAATGTCCTCTCCTCAAAACCCACAAGCAATGAAAGATCATGTGGAAAAGAGGCAGGGAGGCATCTGCTTGGAGGCTGTAATGCTCAGCTCTGAGTTACCTGACAGGGAAACTGGAGCAGAGAATGCCACTGGAGATGGACAAATACCTCTTCTAAACCTGCTATGGACTGAGAGATAGGGCAAATTTCGCAGGAAGGGATGACACTGCCACTGCTGAGACCCCAACCTTAATAGCTTTTGGAGTGCAAGAACTGGGCAAAAAGAGCTGGTGTTGACTTTAGGCCACAGATGTACTTGTATTTGTTTGCTTCTCACCTTTTCTTACAGCCCTGTAAGACTGAGCTTACAATGTGCTGAAATCATCCCTCACACAGTGTTCCCCAAAGCATGTTTGCTGTTAAACTGGAACCTGGGCACCACTGAACCGAGTTGAGATGTGTCTGTGCAGAAGCAGCAAGGCTGCATCAGCAAACCTTATCTCATAGCTTGGGCAGGGACAGCACTTGCTTAATGCTGTTGGCCTAGCTCCAGAGCCAGTGTGGGGAGGACTGGGATCACTAACTGCTCTGTTTTCAAGGGCACGCAACATAAACCTGCATCCTTTTCTGCTGAGCACTCCCCCTTCCCAGGAGAAGCATCTCCCAGCTGGAGGAAAACCTCAGCTTTGATGCCAGCACTCTCATTTTATCAACAGGAGAGGATTACAGCTGGCCCTGGAGCACTCAGGGCCATGGGGATGTGTGATTAAGAGGAGCTATGTGCTCTCTCACAGCATTGCTGTATTTATGCATCAGCCAAGCCCCAGGCAAGCAAGGAAGCAGCCCTGGAAGAAATGGCCCACTGCATAGCTGTGCAGATTGAGTCCAAGTTTGTTGTATGAACTTCCATGAAGCTTCCCTTTTTTCTCAGAATATAGGACATTGATCTGATTTCTCATTTTCACAACTGAGTAGGAAGTTACTGGTGACTTTCTAAAGGAGTTCAGGCTCAAACACTTTTCAGCTTCCTGCCATTCCAACAGCTGGTACCAACAGGACAGCTAACAGGTGTTCTCTCTTATGCCTTTCATGCAGAGCTGAATGCCAGAGGCTGAGTCCCAACCCCTGGGTCCAAGGCTTGATCCAGAATGATGAATACATATGCAGGTGAATATTTTCTATTTGTTTGTTTGGGGGCTTTTGTTTAGTTGTTTTTGTTTTTTTTTTTTTTTCCCCTGTGTCAGCTATGTTTCTTTAGCAAGTAGAAGTGCCATCTTAGTAGCTGGGAAAGAACCAGAAAGAAGTAGTCTGAGCATAGTCTTGGCAACCCAAACCCCACGTCTGCCAATTTGTGTGAGCCGGTGTGATGAAGCAGCAACCTGGGTTTTTGATGATCTGGTAATGCTCCCTTGACAGAATATGAAATTAGGCCTTCCTAGTTAGGCTCAGCTATCTGGTAAATCTAAAAAATCTGGAAAATTCATCTTGTTGGCAAACCATCATAATACTACTTCTCTTTTTAAAAGAGATGGAGGACAGACACAAGCATATGAAAGCATAACCTCCTATACATCTGCACCAGGGTATGGAACTCAGGACAGAGCTCACTTTGTGCAAATGCACTAACAGGAATGTTTGAATGAAAAGAATAAATCATCCTAACTATTCCCAAGCTCACTGCAAAGCAATGCAACAAAACATTTGATCAAACTCAGGCAGGAAAAAGTCTGGTGGTCACAGAGGGAAAATTAATAAATGTTATCCCATTACAGGGGCTTCTTGAGGTCAGACTGCACATCCAGAATTGAACAGTGCAATGGATCTTTAATAACAAATGAAGAGGAAACTCATCCATCACCATCTGTATTTCTATAATGCATCAGATTTTAAACTTAACTTGTAACCAACAGTGATTGATGGCCACCCTTTATGCAGAAGAATTGACCATTCAGACTACCTGTACTGACAGTTTTGGTCCTGTGCTAACATTCCTGTTTGTATTTCTCACAAGTTTGTATTGCAGCCAGTGTAATACTAAGGTAAGTTTCTTCAGCCATTTTTTGGAAAGAGGTTCCAAGTCTTTGTCACTGTGGGATGGCACATAATCCATCTGCACATACTTAACAGTATCTACATACAAAATTGGCCCTCACTCCATTTTCTTCATGTCATTGAAATTGCACCTGCTCAGCCTCAAACACACAGTAATCACAAGAGACATAGGTGAGATGATCATGTCAATGATTAATTTGATTGAGACACTTCTTCCTCAAAAAGTGTGAGCAGGTAGATTCCAAAGTCTGTGAAATTGATAGCTATTCTTGGGGATAAAACAGACATCTAAACTTTTAATTTGGATATCTTCTCTACCATCAGGTATGGGGCTTTCTCATCTATTTGTAGTGCCATTTCCTGCACAAAATGAAATGTTCATATCCACAGTAAAGTATTTCTTTCCAGATGCCCTGTCCTAAAATTTCATGAATGCTGTGGTATAGTGATATCTCTTCACTGTGTAGAAAAGACCCTCAGTGACAGCCTGTAACCAGGGGCTCCATGTGAGTGCCAGCTCCATTCTCCAAGAGAAAGCTCTAGAATATGATGAAGGAAAGAACAGAAGGAAATATGAGCTATGCAAACTGCAACCTCCAGGACAGGTTTGATGGCCATTTCAGTTTCTCCTGGGTTTGAGTCTTCCCTAATTCAGGCCAGGCAAAAATTTCCACACTCTCTCTCCCATCCTCACTGAACTATCCTGGCTCCCATGGTTATTTTGGCTGCACTTTATATCAATCTCTCAAGATTTTCCCAAAATTGATCTCCAGTGAAACCAGAGCTCTCCAGAAATATCTGAACAGCCACTGTGTAGGATTTTCCTGGCCAAGTGTACACCTGAACTAGCTACCTAGAGCAGGCAATTGAAAGATGCCTAAAGGAAGCACTCAAGAGATATGTAAATGTATCCTCAAATACTCTGCCTCCATTGACTATAGAAATATTTTTTAATATATTGTCTCTTAAACGATTGCACAAGAATATTCTCATTTTTGTCTGTATTCCTCTTTGTTTAATCATTCAGCAATATTTAATATTTGCTAATTTGCTCAGAATGTAATGTAGAATGTAATATTAATCTAAGAATTTTCTTCTTCTGATAAAGGCATTTAAAATAGAAGAATCAAAATGTAGAGGAGGTAATAAAGGAAAATAGAAGACCTGAGATATTATTGTTATATCAAAGCAGAGCAATATCCTAGTAGTCAGACCCAGTTATAAACATATCATGCATCTGGAATACAAAAAAGATTTGTGATCAAACTGGCTACCACAAAAGCTGGAATACACCCAATATAAATGTACCACTGGGTTACAGTGTATACATGTGTATACTTGAATTTTCCACCTATTTCTATTTGGTTAAATGTATCTTTTCAACACCCCTTTACTTCAGATGTAAAGACAAATGCACACGTCTACCTGGAAATTGCAGAGTCAAGCTTGAGAATTTTTTAAATGTCCATTCACTTATCTTCTGATATTGATATTCTTCAACAGCACAGCTGACCCTCTGCTGCTATTTCTCTTTCATACCTCCAAAGTAAGTCTGCAAACTCATAAATAATTTAATATTCATTCATAAGTTTATTTTTTATTAAAGAACTAAAATTTCACTGTTACAGTGTTAAAACCTTTCTTATCTGCAGCTTCATCCATTCCTCCCATGCTCTTTCCTCCTGCACCCTTCTTGTGGCTGCCTTTGCTCTGTGCAGCGGTGCTGAGGCTGTCCTGTCCCCCCTCGCTGCTCCATGCTGACTCCAACAACCCTGGGGGTGCTGCTTTTACCTGGCTCTGGAGAATTTCCTACAGCTGCACTGTGCAAGCATCAGGGAGACTTCAGTGGGCTGGAAGGTGAAGCTCTCAACAACTGCAGTTTGACACCTCAATGAACACTAGGATGATGAAATGGAGAGGGATTATGCTAGGAGAGAACCAGGACTCTTTAGAGAGAGAACACACTGACCCACCCTGAGCTTCGATGTTCAAACACCCCTTGAAATTTATAATGAAACAAATAACTCAATGACTGTGTTGACAGAGCAGTAGTTCTGTATAAAGATTTTTTGCTTTCTTCCTCAGAAGTTCAAACCAGTCTGTTTTTTCAGGTATTTTTAAGCATTCTCAATTTCTAAGACTGTAGCTTGTAGATGTATTCACAGGCCAATCTTTGATCTTATTCTTACTCAGGAATTGTCTTCCAGGAACTGCTGGGGATAGGGAATAGGCTATGTGGGCCTTTGTACGACCCTTCTTTCTGAACGGTCACTGAAAAGTCACTTTTTAGTCATATCAAGTGAGACCACCAACTACTAGGTACCCTCCTGGCACAAAATAATAACAATCATAATGAATGGCAAAAGACCAGAAGCTGGAGGAAAAATGAAAGATAATAAAATAGGAAGAAACAAAGTAAACAAAAGTATATACTCTATTTTGCTTCAAACTTTGCTTTTCAATGATCATATAAAACCACTTGTGTAGTAGAAAACAAAAGTGTGGGAGGAATCAGGAGAGTAAAGAAGGATAAGGATATGATGTACAGGTTAGGGAAGCAACAGCACACATTGAATACATACAGAGTATGAGATTTGACTATAATTAGTTTTAGGAGTGATTTTCACCCATAGCTACCACTGAAAATCTGAAGATGCAGTTTAAAAATCAAAAGTGTGCCTTTGAAAATTGCCTAATAAACGTGCACCATCAGCACTTACATACACCAAAGAAACATTCTGATTCTTCTTCAGCACCCTCAGAGACAGAAATCTAGAGTTCACGTGTAAGGGTCAGGAAATTTCTTGACTGTGTCCTGTCTGTCTGCAGTACAAAAGCACTGTCAGACTAAAATACTGAAAGGTATTGTGACCATACTGCTTTCCTGAGTAAAGTGAAAGCTGCACTACTAAATGAGTGTTCCCCATCAGACACAATTCACAATCTGTTTGTTGTCTTTAGTCAGTGCACAGGCTCTTTATGTTTCTTCCCAAGACGCTGAAAGAACCCACTCTGGTCTTGCTTTTAGGATCTGGACTGAACTGTCCTCCATCTCTGGCCTCAGATACCCCCAAACGTGCCTCCTAAATCAATGGAACTGCACTTTTCCCTCCTTGCCTGTCTCATGTTTCATTCTTTTTGGGGAAAGAGATGGAGAGTTTAGCACACTTTCCTCTTTCCATGAGCAGGCAGCCCTGAGAGAAGACAGAATGTTTCTGGCCAAGCTGTAACATGGTCTTGACATACCAAGAAACAAAAGCTAAATCTGGCCGCTGTTGGGGAGCCCTTAACCCCAGACAGCTGCAGTGAGGAACAGATGCAGGCATAGCTGAATTGACATCAACTGCTCATTAAACAAGCCATGACCAACAGATGGGAACACTGCTTTATTATGATAGCCTTCTCCAAATGCTGAATGGACTAGATGGAAAATGAGACTGGAAAATGAGTGAGTGCTAAAAATGGGAAATCCTACTGCAGGAAATCCAGCCAATCCACTAGAATGGCAGGTGCCACAGCTGCTCCACTCTTGAACCCAATTCAGACAAACTATGTTTGCCACAGAAAAGGATAGAAAATGTTCGTTTTCAAAGGTCTCCCAACTACCCCATATTGGCAGTTACAGTAATTATCAACATAATTGCTTCAAGTCACATCTCATTATAAATGAAAAAGGAGATTTTGGCTCTGGCAGCTATTATTTGCTAATGCAGTGTAGTACTGTGTATCATACTATACTTCACGTCAATTTTTTTCTGTTTTTGTTTTTTTTACTAGATACACATTTTAGAAAATTGACATGGAAGTTATATGGAATGAACATTGATTTTAGGCATTACAGAACAGAGAAAAATATAAAGACAGAAGGATTTTTCTACAGAAAGAGATACATTATTTTATTGCACCTATAAAACAGTTATTGCAATAACCAAGGACAGAGTTAAGTATCAATGGTCTCGCTACATCAAACAGTATTATTTGAGTTACCAAGGCAAAGAATCATTAGCCAACAGTCAGCAGGAATTTTCCAAGCTTTCATTTTCTCTCTTATAAACACACAGAGACAACTAACACAGAAAGAGTGGCAAGCATACACATCAAAATAATAATGTTTCAAATATAGTAGTTCTGGAAGAAATAAGGCAGAATTCACTTCAACACAATAACGAAGCTAATATACGCTAAATAACTAACACAATTACTTAATCTTTATTCACTTCTATTTATGCTGTTTCTGCAAGTGGGACCAACAGGAATGGGCTGTTGAGTCCTCTTAACAGTCAGAAATATTTTAGCTGAGCATAAACCAAATCACAAATAGTCCAAATTCCCTTAATTCACATAGGGCCCACATGTCTGTGGAAATATATGGGAATACAAGGTTTCATCAACCACCTATATAAAAGCCATGTAGCTGAATCCACATTAACTTGGGGAGCACAAAAATCCATCTTGGTATCTGGCAATGCTCATTCAAGTTTAGGACAAATTACTTCCTTATGTAACAGATGAATATACCCATGAAGGCAGCAGAAACATAGGCAGAAGTGTTGATTAACACATCAAATAGTTACAAAACATAGCCCAGTCAGATTACTAAATATATATATGTGTGTGTGTATGTGTATGTATCTGGACATAAAAAATGACAAGACTAACCTTTGTAAAGGAAATGCAAGAAACACTGATGGCATTAAATGTGTTTAATGCATTAGACATACATACATGGTGAAAACATTTACATAAATAAGAAGAAAATGCCTTTACTTCAGTCAAACACATCAGGACTATTGAACTTTTTCAGAAGTTAAAAGATATCCAAATTATTTAGGTATTTGATATTACAAGGAAAAGAATACATTGGAGGAATATACATCTTTCAGAAAAAACAGTTTAACAGACTGCTTTTAGAAATCTAAAAAAAAAAAAAAAAGCATAACCTTGTTCCTGTAAAAGATATTTAACTACAAAAATTGTTATTATTACAGCTATTCAAAACACTTCTCTAAGACGCTGACTTTGAAAAAAATCTGTCTTGATATAAACAGTCCAGAAATAATGAAGTAATGAAAGCAACTACTAGGAAAACCTGGAAAAGGATCACTCTGATGAACATCAGTGTGTTCAGCATATGAAAGGCAATATTTGAGACTTCAGAGTGATACAGAGGTCTGACAAGGAAAACAGGGTGTTTTAGCCCACTTGTGCAGTTTAGGCTCCAGACTTGACTATCCAGCCTTATTTCAGCACTACAAAAACTCCATGAAGGGAAAGTCCATTTTTAGATACCTTAGATATTGCCAGATATTTTTAATACCTGGTCCACAGAGACTAACTGAATAATTCATTAGAATGGCAGGGCCTTCCAACTCCTCATCCATGTTATTTAACATCAATGTAATCTAATATGACAGCTTCTAAGGAAAAGTGTTAACCTGCATAGGGGAATCTCACTGGTGCTCAACACATATTGAACTGCCAAGCAGTAAGTGTAAACTAATAGTTCATACTTGATTGGAAGTTGAGCAGAAGTGAAAAAAATGCCAGGCAAATTTGTTTTCTTTATTCTCTTAATCTTTAAAATGAAATCCAGCATTAACACAGTTCAAAAAGATGTGCATAACAGGGGTCAGGTAGCACATTTGATTTAACTTAAAAAATTATATAACTTACACAGAGTGCTGTGAAACATTTGCATGGTGTGAAAATGGGGCAGCTATCTACACCCAAAGAGGATAAATATACAGTCATGTAGAGAGATTGGATAAAGAGGTATCTAATGAAACCATGTGAGGATCACCATATAGCGTTACTTAACATCTTTATCAGCTCTGACTTTTCCCTTTCTGATAAAACACAGAAGGATATGTAAATGAAAATAAATTTTAGAAAAAAATTAATATTCATATTCAATATTTATGGTGTCACAAGAAGAGGACAAGGTACCTTCTTCAGCACGTTCGACCTACATATGACATTGTTAGAATACTGAGATTATTTGCTACATCTAGGCAGGATTAAAATGCATAGATAACCACTGCTCTTGTGTAATCTTTCCTCCAAGCTGCAGGGAATTGGTTATAGGACTTGCTGATCACATTAGGATTATTCCACATTTCCTCAGTATCTGCATCTCAAAATGTCTAAGAGGAAGGTGTCTGGGATAACTGAGCATTTCCAATGACACAGCCCCACCTTTGGAAACCATGGTTTTTCACTGGACAAGCCAACACCTCTGCTCTTGTATAATTCTGATCAGGCCACTCTTAAAATTCCCATTATATAATGGGCACCATAATACCCACTATAGGCAATGTAAATGGAATTTATAGGCAATCTTTAAAGGATGAGAGAGAACACAGAAGGAACATTCAGATGGGCCAAATCAAGTTGATTGAAAACATGATGATTGAGTGAATTTATAACCCATCATTTTGAAAGTAAATAAATAATGAGGCTGTTGGAAACATATTTAAAATGGTACATGGAGGTACACTTAGCAAGTATGGATAAAACTCCTTTCTTTGCACTGACAGCAGGATCTTGAAAAGGAAGAGCTGACAGACATGTAGTGGCAGGCCTACACTAGCCCAGTCTTTGCTCCAGAGTGACAGGGAGTATAGCTAGTATAGCTACTGCTGTCAGCTTTACCTGAGCCAGCTCATACACCAAAAACAATTTCACCTCTGAAGCACTGAGCTAGAGGTGCAATAATTTAATACCTGCAATACAGACATAACTTAATCTAACAAAGAACAAACAGTAGAGGAACTGGAATAAATAGTCTGCTTACAAGGTACCAAGGTTTGGTGTTACTGGATCCTCACTGCTACTACAACTGTTAGGGAAATTAAGGTGGCATATGCTGGAATGTGTTTTATTAATTTCTTGCCATTGCTGTGAAAACACACTCTCAGAAAGTGTCAAGAACAGTTTCTAAAGGAGGTGAAAGAATTTCATCATATAGGACATGGGAAAGCTAACTTGGCTAACACCCAGAAATGCAGAAACCTGTCCTTGTGTGGGAAATAGCTAAAGGCCCATCACAAAAGCTTAACTCATTATACTTCTGCTTTTCCAGAGCTACATCTTTACCTCTAAATTCCTCCTTACTTCTAGACAGTGAAATTCTTCCTCACTGCTTTACTTCACTTCTGGAGACAAAAGATTATCCAAGTCTGACATTGTCTCCCTAGGATGCCTTTTGTCTACTGTTGTCCTCTTCTTTTTCTTTCTCCTCCTCTTTTCTTTTACTATACTTTTCTTTGCTTCTTCTTCTTCATCTTCCACAGGTGGGCAAGAGCAGGGCTCTGTAGTCTCACGATCCAGGCTGGAAAACCAGAAAAGGAAATCCACTAAGCTAAAAGCACCTATCTCATAAAGCCTCTTTCACAAGACATAGATTTCACCTTTTTCAACATCTCACAGTACTGACAAGAGAAGGACTTATCACACTCTTGACCATTTGACAGTGATATAAATGTTCTACAATTCAGTTTCCCTTTTATGTATAGAATAAGTGAAGGATAACCTAAAACAGGGCCCTGGCCCTTAATCTTATTTGCCTCTTATGACCCCAGAAAGGATGTGGACAAAAAGGACCCTTTTGCTGTGAGCGTCCACATCACACAGTGTTGTACTTTGCTTATGGAACTTGTTGGCTACATTTGCAGAGTGTTTGTTCTGCCATAATTATTTCTTTTGACAGTGATGGCAGGAAAATGCCCCAAATAGATGCTAATGTCTCATGAACATTACTAAAATCATAAGAGCTATATTATTACCTCTAAAGATTAGTCAGTTAAGCATAAGCCCTAATACACACCACAAAAGCATTAAAAGATAATCCCAAAGAACTCAGAGCTGGAGTTAGCCAAGCTATTGTAATACATCTATGGACACTGAGGACTTCCTGTCAACATGGGAACCTGGGACGTGCCTTTTAATTTTCTTTCCCTTACTATTCCAGCACTTAGCACAAACAGGTTGTCTCTTTTTGAGGTTCTAATACTATATTGCATTCAGACTTTTTGATTCCTTTCCAATTAAATAATGCTGTTGGATTGTTCCTATCAATGATGTCAGCACTTTCTCATTAGATCTCTGCATATCCATGAGCAATATGCTGCAGTGTCCCCCTCTAAGTAGGATATAGGAGGTAGGGATTTATTTTAGAAATATAATAAAGAACAAGTTTCATTGGAAAGCACACTTCCATGCCCTCATAAAAAGCCGGGGCTCTAAGGGAAACTCCATTTAGTGCATTCATTTCAGTTAATTCTCCAAAGAGTTCCTCTCTTTGCCACTGCAAAAATTTTCTCCTCATTTGTATATAAAAATGACAAGTCAGCTTGCTAATAAATTCTGTTTGGAGATTGAATATTCGTACTAAAGCACTCATTCATGAAACAAAGCATGTAGAATGGACACTATTCTTATTGCTCATGCATTTAATCACATCTTTTCTTAATACAGTACCTCAGAATACAATCCAACTCAGTGGAAAGACTTCTGCCAATTTTGCTGGTACTCAGACCAGTTACACACCTGTCTCTTTTCAACTGGTTGTTGGCATTAAGAAGGAAACCATGGTCTTCAGGTTTGCTTTTTGGTGAGAAGACGCTACTGTCATATTAATGATGTGGCCTGGGAAAAGGCATTGATGTATTCCCAGATTTGGAATTCTGCTCAGTGAAGAGAGGGCATTCATTTGTTTGTGTGCTGTGGCTGCAAGCTGGTGGAACGCTGAGTTTCAAACTGTACTGGGAGCACTACTAGAATACATGTGGGAACCACAGGACTTGAATCTCAGTTTTTCACTCCATCATTCTCAGTGAAGCCATAGATCAGCCTGCAACTGGTACCCTCACCCATAATTTTTAGATTAAATCTTTAATGATTATAATCATACTCAGAACATTTCAATGAAAATTAAGAACATCTGTGGGCACTGGAGCACTGGAAAATTAAGAAGCACTGGAGCAGGCTTCCCAGAGAGAGTGTGCAGTCTCCTCACTGGAGATACTCAACCATTTGGATGCAATCCTGTGCCATGTGCTCTGGGATGACCCTGCTTGAGCAGGGAGGTTGGAGCAGATGACCCACTGTTGTCCCTTCCAATCTGACCCATCCCATGATTCTGTAATGTAAAGTTGCCTTTAATGGTGGTATTTATTTCTCTCTACAGCTACCAGAAAGGAAGGTGCAGCCAGGTGGGTGTCGGTCTCTTCTCCCACGTAACCAGTGACAGGGCAAGAGGACACAGCCTCAAGCGGCACCAGGAGGTTTAGGCTGGGCATTAGGAAGAAGTTCTTTACAGAAAGAGTGGTTGGCCATTGGAATGGCTGCCCAAGGAGGTGGTGGAGTCACTACCCCTAGAGGTATTTAAGAAAAGAATGGATGTGGCACTCAGTGCCATACTCTAGTTGACAAGGTGGTGTTGGGAGATAGGTTGGACTCGGTGATCTCAAAGGTCTTTTCTAACCAAGCTAATTCTGTGATTCTGTCATTTTCCTTGTTCATGTCTCCTCTTGGAAATAAACTTCCCAAGATGGAGATTATATGATTCCTTTGCAGCAGTGCTCATACTACATGGAAGAGGAAACCCTTCATCCTGCAGATGTCAAGGCAAAGAAAGACTCAAAACCAAATTATGTTGTCTCACACAAAATGTGAAACTGTGCAACTCCTCCTGGGAAGAAGCTATGGATGATGAAGTTTTACATGGTTTCAAAAAAAGTAATTGCACAAATTCATGGAAGAAAATTCCATCAAGGCTGTTTAATACAGAGACTCCAATTCTGCTTCAGAGAAATTTTAAATCCCAAATTGTAGGTTGGGAATGTATTCTGGATAAATATCCCTAGATGATTGTTCTGATCTTATTGTCCATCCTAAGGTAGTCTGAGGTTGTTAGTGCTCTGAAGTCTATCACAATTTCAACTGGATTAAACTAGAACTTAATACAAGATGAAAATATAATCCATAAACACTTAGAACCACTGCATTTTCAGTGCATACTTCATATCTTGCTGCACATTAATTCTGCAGAACCTAAGTAGGGGCTCATACTCATCTTACACACTCTCTCTCCATCATTCTCCAGTTTTAAGCTCAGAAGATGAACAAGTATTTTAGAAAAAATTTGCAATTTTATGTGCAGCTTTGCATAACAATAAGTATTTTAAAATGAAAATAAGGTCTACAACAAATAGAAACTCCATCTCACCTTTCAGCAATCCCCTTAACAACTTTCTGGGACTAAGCTTCAAGACATCAGATCCCACCAATATTTCCAGAATGAAAATGAGGCAGTAAATTCTCACATAAACTTAGCTGCATGTGTAGCCAGTCAACAACAGCTGTAGTTAAAGTACTACAAATGGAAACCTGACAGCATAGCTGAACTCAAAGTGCAACATTTAAGATTCAAATTTTAAAAATTTAGTACTTTTAGGTTCAAACATACTCACATCTCATAATGCACTGTTTGCATCATTCTTATGTACTGACAGGAATAGGCATAGTTGGTTTGGCTGATTTTAATGAGCTCGCTTCTTATACAGTGTTCCTGCAATAACACAATCAATATTCATCTAATTTAAACTGAAATCTCAAAAGCAAATGATCTCAAAAGCAATGAAGATACATATGCATAAAAAATAAACTGTTTAAATGTAACTGTAATCAGCCCCCAATAAAGATAATTAATATAAAAGTTTCAAGTACAAAGTAAATTTTCTTTAATGCATGCTGTGAAAATGCAGTAAAATTATCATAATGGCTTACAAACAAAAAACAAACCAAACAAACATAATGGAATTAATTTCAGACTATACTGACTGTGTTATAACTCCCTATGTTTCTTATTTTAGAAGCATGGAACTTGAGAAAGCCACCAAATGTATTAAAGAAGAAAGAACAGAGTATGATTTACGAATAAATTATCTGACAGAATTTCTTCGTTGAGGTTTATTACATGAGCTGTTCATTGCACTCTGAAATGTGATTTACTCTGGTTAGCTGGAGACTCAGATTGGGACAGGGAGCTCATTAGCCTGGAAAATTCTATCTGCCTCTTCAAAAACAGACAGACTAGTATAATCTTCTAGGTTTACTTACCTTCCTGTTGTTGAACAGCAGTACTGTGTAGAGTTTGTCACCTGTCTCCACCCTCTCTGGTGTTGCTATGACAATGGCAGGAACATAACATGCATTTTCTGCCCGTGTCCCAATTCTGGCAAACACATAGTCTCCAACCTGTGCCCCAGGAAAGCATCAATGCAAGAACCATATAACTTGAGAGCTTTACAAGACATAACTTCTAAGATAGTTTTATGGACCATTGAAAGAAAAGAAGAACTTTGTCCTTGCATGTTCTGATCATACAATTTCCACTGAATTGGGGAGAGAACACAAAACAAAAATAAAGGACTGAGCTCTACTAAATGTACCTGGCTTAGCTAGCAAGCTGAACTGAATGAGGAAACTCTTACAAACTGCATTCCCTTGCAAATTCTATGCAAATTTTAAGGCTTTCAACAAGCTTTTAAAACAACCTTGGGAATTTTAGATAATTCCAGATGTAATTTATTTATCCAAAATTGTTTTTAAAACTAATGCAGAAGTCACAATTTTATATCAAATTCTGCAGGTCTCTAGAGCTGGATACAGAACTTACAGAGTTATTAGGAGCTGCTACATCAGGATTTGCCTTTATCTCATACTTAGTGTGCAAAATAAGAATCACCAAAAAAACCCCAGCTGTGATTACAGATAGCTGATAGTAAATTTTAAAGAAAATCAGAAATTGAACTGGGATAATAATTTTTTTACTACTGTTATTTGCATTAGTATGTGGTTATTTGCTGGATTTAAAACATGCTGTGGAAACCAAATGGTTAAAACCTGCTGTAAATCACACTAAGTATCAAAGGTTCTCTTACCTTTATAATCTATGTGCTAGGAAACAATAACTCTACTAATAAATAGCCCACCTTCCTTCTATGGCTAAAAGAAATTCATGTTTTATCAAGAAAACAATATAGATTAATTTAGAACACATAATTTTAATAAACAAAGGAATAGAATTACAATGAAAACATGCTTCAAACAAATTAAAAACTTCATGTTGAAAATAGCATATTACTATAATGAAAAACTCTTTAAAATAAATGTATTTAAAAGACTTTTTATAAAATCCATAATTTATTACATAGATATAAAATTAATTTCATCTTTTTAAATATAAAATGCATATTTGCAATAATAAAAAAAGATAATTTTTTACCTGCAGATGTGGGCATGGAAGAGCACCTCCCACAGGTATAGTGAACTTGACAGGGACACAACAGCTCTTCCCATTGCTGAAGTCAACAAGTACACAGGTAGAACTAATATTCTTTATCACAGTTCCTGAAAAACAACAGAATAAAATATTCAAATTATTTTTCTTTCATCCCTTGTCATAATTATTTTTTAAAAAATCTTATAGGCTGCCACACATCACCATGTCTATACTTTACATTCTTCGTTTTCATTCAGCTACTGTAAGCTGTGCTAGGGCAAAGGAGACATTTGTACCTAAAAACCCCTGCCTAACAAACCAGTTTTAATAGTACTATAAAAAGGAAATGAAGTCTTTTTCAAGCACAGGTCTGAAATTTGTAAGCTGATCAGGTTAATATAATAAAACTGGCAGTTAACATAATAAAACTACTACCACGGTTAAAAATATATAATTAGAAAAAAATCCCAAACAAGTAAAGGCAGCACAAAGATAAACACATACACACAGAGAAAGAATATTTTAATATTCTTTGTGTGAAATAACAGAACTGAGTTTTACCTACTAACCACTCTGACTTAAAATTCAACAAAAAGGCAGCAGCATTTAGTGATCTTTTTGGATATACACAAAAGCTTGGCTTATGATTTCCTTCCATACTTTTCACAGACAAACATATAATTGCTCTCCAACTTTACAAATTGAATGTCTTCATATAAATGTGTATATATATATATATATGTATATATATAGATGTGCACATACAAAACATATACTCATTTTTCATTAATATGCACATGTAATAGTAAATGTCATTAAGAAAGTAGTAGTTAATGATGACCACAACTTATGTTTTATCAGTATTAAGGAACACGAAATAATATTGAAAATGTGGACAAAAATGTATACCTGGATAATAAAATCCTGTGATATCAGATCTTGCAATTAGCTTTTGGCCTTTGTGAGTCACAAAGATTTGACATTTTTGTCTTGTCTTAGACTTCACCTTCCCACTCTCTTCTTCAAGTCTCTGTAATTTGACACAATTATTTCTTTACAACAGCTAATGCAGTCAGCTTTAATCTATTCTTTGGAATTACTTAAAAACAGAAGCAATGTAATGCTACAAGATCTGTACAGAATTCACAGTAAACGGGAAATACTTTAAACTTTCAGAATAGTTCTAAGTACAGGAAGTACTCATATAAGAGTTTTTACTATAAAATCCTGTTCTGTATGGTCATAACAATACCTATATTTTCATGTGTTCTGGCTACTGTTTTTTACAAAAAATGTCACAAAGTTGCACAATTCTTATTAAAAGATGAGGTAAGGAAAAATCAGATCTTTTTTCAGAATAAGAAAATTTGTTCTACACATTTCTTTTGTCCAGATAGGAGAGTTTTCACAGTAATCTGATTTGCATTAGAAGTACCTCACTGTATGGGATGAATCATTAAAAAATCAAAAACAAAATCAAAAAATGTTCAAACAAGTCTTCAAGTGTCTGGGAAAAAAGGTTATTTACTATAAATTCAAAATTAATTTGACATTTTCAACCGTTCTAAAACATTCCAGTTTAGAAAAATATTACACCACACCTTCCAGACCTGCCACTGTCCCTTATTCTGCCACACTAGGTTGGGTTCTTCATGCAACTAATTATTTTTGCCATTCTGCTCACAATAATGTTCCTAAATATAAATTACAACCAAGTGCAAAATTTGCCTATAATAAATCAGTTTCACCACTAAATGAAAATTTTGGCATTTATTTTCACCATTAAATGAATCAGTTTCACCATTAATTTTAAGAATATTTATTAGCCTACCTCATGAAAAATTTGCAGGCATCGATCTCTTCTGAGCCATAAAAATATGCAACTTGAAACCTCAAACCTTTCCACAGATCTACACATTGTTCTGAAAAATGACCATACCTCACAGACTCTTAATAAAACCCCTGTTTGCTAAGATGTGTATGACTTGCTTCTTTTTCTGATGACTTTTTTTTCCTAAAAGAAGTATTTGATTTGATACTTGATTTTCCCTAATAGTCAATAATGATGGAAAATATATTAATAACTTTGACTAAATTGCTTGTTCTCAGTTTCACTATAATTATCACAATCTCTTTTTTTCAAACTCCTCCTCAAAAATCACAAAAAACCTAGAAAAAAAGTCCTAAAAATAAGCGAAACACACAAAAGAGACAAGGAGATATTTTAAATTGGAGATATATGGGATTTTCTAGCTTATTCTTTACCCTTACAGAATATTAATTATATCAACAGCTTGGGTTTTGAAACTCAGACTAAACCAGGGGCTCTTCACAGTGCTTAACTGACTGCTTGAAGTGTAACTCAACAAAGGCTGATTTGAGAGCAGACCTACAGTTCCACAGACACAAAAAAGTATTTGGGTAAAGCATTTACTTAATTCCTCAGATTCCAAAAGGACAGCTGCTGCTGAATATTTATTATCAACTAATTTGTATTGCTTGACTAATAATTTGGGCAACTTCCAGCACTCCACATTAATCCAAATACTAAAGACGACACAAGCATCCACAATGAGTATTCCAAGTTGTACAGAATTCAGGTGGCTCAGAAGCACTGTCTAAATTAAAATCCATCTTTCTTTTCTCTCACACAGCTTTTAGGTGTTCAACAGGACTGACCCAGACACTGTTGGAGTGGCCATTTCTGGCATTGATGATTTTTATTACAAAAGAGCCCCATCTGATTCTCATGAGTTTTTACCATGTTTCGCTCTGCTTCTGTGGAAGGCAATGCATTAAACCACAATGGGTGAAGGAGACTTTCCTCACTTTTTCCAATATCTGCTACATTTTTTAAATTCCCTTTCAAAAAGAATAGTCTTTGTACTTTCCTATTTTAAGTGAGAACAGACATGAAGAACACCCACAGATCTCCTGTATCTTGGCTCAAACTTTGGGTTCTCATAATCCTGACACCTCCATAGTCAAGCAACCACCACTCTTCCCTGGGTGCCAGTGGGACAAGCCCATTCTGCATGGACCTAGCCCATTTTTATGAAAGAGCCTGAAAAGAAAGAGCTGAAAACTAAGGTGTTTTATTTAATTTTTTTTTTTTAATTAAAAAACATCAGGAAATTCAAAAGTCTGCTTTGTTGAATAGTTTCATGATAATTGTGATTTTTCTATGATGTCACAATGACAAATTTCATTCAGTGCCATATCAGCTATTTCCTAGCTGTAATGTATTTCCGTTGGCAGTTTATTTCTCTATACCCTTTTGTGGGCAAAAATCACAGTTGGCAAAACCTTCAACAAATTTTTTAAAGCCTTCTCATTTTTCTTCATTTTTTCCATTGTTTTTCTACTACATAAACAGAATTCTAATTACATCTGCATTTCTGACTCTCACTCTTGAAGCCTTTCAGTTGCAGATTAGCAATTACTGAAGATGCTGCTCTGATTAAGCTCCTAAAGCAGGTTGACTCAGGATAAGTGATTGCACAATGTTAATCACATCATGTCTGAGAGCACACACTGGTTGTTCCAAGACAACAGTAAAATTACAGTCAACAAATGAAACACAAACATGTTTCTGCTGCTCTTGTATTGGGACATTATATGGCATAGGTAAATCAATAATCAAAATAGCTCTAGCAGCAATGTAATATTTTCAAAGTAATGTAAAATGAATCAAGATAATCTATTTTATGAAGACATTAAAATGTTTTCAAATGGGCAGTCTTAATGGAATTAAAAAACTCAAAAACTACAGAAAACACACACACATATATATACAAAAACACTAACTTCAATCGTAGTTTCAGAGTAGCTAGGCTAATGTATTAATGCTAGACTAATGTATTAATGAAATGGAGAGAGAGAATATAAGCCTCTGTGCCTAGCCAAAAGTGGGTGTCCACTTCAGAATGAGCTCCAGACGCCACTGACTCAGTTCACAATGCTGTGATATTGCCCACCAGTTCACATATACCCACATTTTAAAGACAGTTACATTTTAGTGTACAAAAATGAAGTTGAATTCCACCTCTTCTCTCTATATTTTCTTTTACAAGAAATGTACCAAGGAAGATTACAGCGAATTACTCCAATATTAGAAGATCTTTTAGTCCTGTTTATCAGATATGAACCCAACCAGAAATCTTGTATCTAAATTGCCTTTAATATATCTATTCTTCCTCTTTCTTGCTATCATTGCAGCAGAGAAGATCCTTTGCTGTGATTTATTTCTAAGAGGCTCAATTTTTGTGTCTGTCTCTGAAGCTTCAGAACTTCTACTTCCCCAATATTTAAAAAAAAGTAATTGGAAGCTTGCTCTCTTCTTAACTACCATCTTTCCTCTATCCATTTTATTTAGCATCATGCTACAATTCTACTTCATCATCTAAGATCATGGAAGAAAATATTCCAGAGGTACATAGTGAAGAGGAATATCTAAGGGGAAAAAAAAAAATCTCTTCCCATTACCTTTTTATTGTTGCTTATGTGTGATTCTGAGCTTTTCTCAATTTCCTTTTTGACAGTTTCCTGAAGATCAGAGGCTTGTTGTATATATGTTAATGCTGTCAATATCTCATCTTCTAACAATTTTACATCTTCATAGGAAACTGGCCATCCCAAATTCTCTAAAGCCTCCAGCAAAGTTTCTTTATGCTGTATATATTGGACTGGCCCATCCTCTTTAAATCTTTAAAAAAAAAATATATATATTAAGGAATTATTAATCACAAGTAGGAAAAATTTTAATTGCATCAGTGCTCTACAGATAGAGTCACAAATTGTGAAGGCAGAATAAAGAATCAGATTTGCCCAATTTATCTTCTGTATGCTACAAGTTCTTGCATTTCATCTAGATACTGCTGTGTTTGGTTGAACAATCACATCTGATATAACTATATCTTATAGAAATACAGCTACAGAGAAATTCAAGTGGCAGAGCCATAATTTCTGAAAAACAAACCAAATATTTTAATATCAGTGCACAATATTTATATATATGCATACAATATTAATATATATGCACGAGATTTATATTCTCCTCTAGCAATAGACTGTGCAACTGCTACAACATTTTTTTCATTACATGCATAATTGGCCATATGTTATCAATAATTAAACATTTTGGATGATACTCTGTCAAATTTCTATACTCTGTAACCCATTGTCTATCAAGAGACATTTATTTTCTTTTTTTTTTTCATTATATGCTGTTTTATTTAACAGTCTTCATTTCCTCTCTGCAATAGAATGAGGTTTTCGTTCTCCTTATTAATGACAGAACTGTAGTTTTTTTTACTAATTAGCTGATGTCTTCCTAAAAGCATTCTAGTTTTCATTCCCATTTTTCTGTGACGATCTATTTCAGGTGCATTCAGTTTTCATTAATTGATCTTTGCTTTATTCTCTGGCACAAACAGATGTTAACTTCACTGATGTTTATACAGCAATTAATTTTTTAAATCAATATTAAAAATAGGCTAACACGGTACAAACTTCCAGAGTGATATACAGTTCCAGCACATGCTTTTAAGGTGCTTATTACACCTTAACAAACCAGCCACTAGAGAGCTCCTTATGGGATGAGAGAAGATTTACTTTGCCGTCAAAGGCAATGACATGCTGCCCTCCCAAGGCCCTGCACTTCACACTGATCAAGGACAGAGAAACAACATTCAAATGGAATGCAAGTTCTTTCGTTTAAAAACAATCAGCACCACAAAAAGGAGGTACAGAATTTAATATTACACCATATCATATATACATTTTTGAAAACAAGATATATTTATGAAATATTTGAAAATTAAAACAGTTGATTATAGAAATAGTGATTTAAAAACTACTAAATATTTACGAACAGCCCTTCAGAGGTACATTAGAAAACCAAAAGTGATAACTTACTTGTCTCTTTCCTCCTGAGATAGTGCTCTCCAAATAACTAGGTTCAGGCGCCTATTAAAGAAAGGAAAACAGTTTTTGAGGGAATGCGGGTCCTTGTACAGATGATCATCTCAAAACTAGCAAAGAAAAACAGTTTCTTAAGATATCTGCACTGATTTGTATTCCAAGCACACTGTATCATCAAATTGTAGCCTTATCACTCAGCTATGAAATTATCAACTGCAAAAGAAGATGGGAAACAACATCTTCCATCAAATAACAGCATGACTATTTCAGGGTCATAGAAGGTTTAATGGCAATCACTGCTGCTTCCTGCCAGGATTTTCTATGGATGGTTGTCTTCAGCACAAGCAAGTTAAATCAAATAACAAAACTGATTAAATGCCAGTTAAGCTGCACAGTTCTTCCAATTAAACATTTTCAGGAAATGTAGTCTGAATGTAGTAATGCTAATTTCTAACTTTTTTCCCCTGCTAAGATTACCCCTCAGTTGTGCCATTCAGGTTTCTAATTCATTAAACTCTGGCTATGAAGAAAAACTACTGACAGGAAAACAGAAGTGATTATCCCCAAGGAATGCAGCTCTGAGATTTTTGAAAAGCACCAATAAACTTTCTGCTTTTGCTTTTTAAGACAGAAATTTTGAAGTCTTATAAGATTATCCCAAACAAACCATCACTCAATTGCTTCATTTCAGCTATAGAAATAAATGTTTATTGATCATCCCAATTACTGTAATTCTAGAAAAAAAAAAATCCAAATTTCCTTTGGATACGAGAACAAGTTCATCGCTAGGAAAAATTCAGATTGTAACCTGATTGACTACAAATAGTCTTGCCAGATTTACTGGTGCTTGCACAAAAAAAAAAAGCACATTAACAACAGATTCTGAATATGAAATTCTTGATGATTCATTTTATCTACCAGAAAATATATCCCAGCATTTTTAGAATACAAACTGATTAGTTCATTCCCAATATACAGTCTCAGCATACTCCAATGCCTATTTCATCCTTCTAAATCTGCACACCCATAACTAAGTTGGTTATAAAAGATTCTGGCTATACAAAATCATACACATTATGAAGCTTTCAGCGTTTTTCTCCTTTAATACTGTATATTCTCTTTGTCAGACCACAAAAATTCTGCCCTTGCCACTTTTCTCCCTCTAAATCTGGTGCTAAACTTAATCTGAATATGGGAAAAATACTGGCATGTTTGCTTCTGTGCTTGAAACCTGGGTGCCCTGATGTATTGTTTGATCTACATATGTCAGAATAAATTTGTGACCAGCCATTATTTACAAAGTTGAACTGCAGCTTTTGGAAGTTCAATTACTAGAAAAGGGCTGTGACATCTAGATTTTAAAAAATTGACTGGCTTGCTGTCTCACATTTAGAGAAAAAGCAAAACAAAGATCTCTCTTTTTGCACTGCCAATTATAAGGATTTTCAAGTATATTCGTCTTCTATACCTCTTTTTCATGGAAGTAGGAACTCAATTCTACTATTCTAAATACACTGATTCATTGATCTCTATTGATAAACAGAAGTAAACAATAATCCTTATCACCAAAGTCTTAGGGAGACTGTGGCAATGCTATTAAGAGTTTAATTCATTGACAGAATGAAACAGAAAACAATTTTATTTCCTTTAAATCAAAGTCAATAAATGTAAATTATTCAATGGTATGTCACAGCAATGAAAAACTTGAATTTTTTTTCAGAATTCACCATCACAAATACACCACTTGAACCTTCTATTAAAATGAGTGATGAATCAATTTCTATGAATTCTTCATCAGCCTGGTAACAACAGTGTCTCAGTGACAGAACAAAGAAAACAAGAGACTGAAATCTATTAATACTAGACATAGCAAGGAGCATTTTCAAATCAAAATTCTTGATTTTATCACAAAAGTTCTATATAGGAAAATAGGATTCAAAAAGAAAGCTATAACATGCTTTAGAAAGAACTGGTATGATCATAGATAGCTAACAAGGAAAATAATCTCAAACCTTAAAGATCCCCTGCTGAATTAATCAAAAAAAAAGGACTAAATAGCTAAATAGTTGTCATCAAGTGGGTTTTGGTCATATAAAATAATTATATTTGTAAATGTTATTAGAATACAGCCTAAAAATATTTATTAAAATAATTCTAGTCAAAGCTCTCATACGATTACTGAATTACACCATAGTCAATTGTATTATTTAAAAAAAAATGCAAAAAGTTGGATCATGGAAAGAAGTAGTTTAGAGATTTAATGCCTTTTTCCTCTTTACTTCTGTTGTACTTTTACTAACATTTAATTTAAAAGTGCAATACATATGCATCTCAAAAAAAAAAAACCACCAAATTTAAATTATCAGTTTCTTATTGGCACCTCAGTTATACTCTTGCATGTATAGTTGGGTGACAGAGAGCTGGCAGCAAAAAGTAGGTCCTTAATTTAAGTGTCAGCCTATTGATATAGGAGCTTAATTTTAAGTTAGAAGTCTGGCTAGCATTGTATGTTTATGGCCAAATTCCTTCTGAGGGATGACTGGTTTCAGGTTTGCTCCCAAAAAGTAAAAGAATTTCGCTTTTGTCGCTGAAAAAACATAATATGAGCAACATGTTGCTACTTATCTCTTGGCCTTTTATCTGTTTTTACATTCTGCTTTAATTTTTTAAAAGAAAATAAAATTTCTCCTACATGTTGATAGTGGATTAAATGTGTCAAAATGTAGAATTATCAGTATTGAGCAAATCATGTGTGAGGAAATACCAAGTACCTGAGAAAAAAAAAATGAAACACGACTGCAACCACAATAAATTTCTGGTGAGTAGACTTGCCTCTCATAGGATTTAATTGCGTGCTCCAACTTCTTTTTATAGGTCTCAAGATTCACTGCCCAAGGATTAATTAGTGCAATCCCCTTCTTGTCACTGCTAACATGGGCCAATGGTAACATCTATCATACAAGAAAAGACACAGATATCATTTCTCATACAAATTTATGAATGACTGAATGCTGAGGCTCAGAACAGCCAGAAGGAACACTGGAAGCTGCAGAAAGAAAAATCTAAGCACCACAAATATCAGAATTAAGACAAAGTTTCGCGCCAGTTCTTCTAAAATCACACAATCTTGTTATGAAGAAGTTACAAAGTAAGATTCTTAACTACTAAGTAATTCTAACTAAATCAGTACTGTCAAACAACTCACTCTACTAATGTAAGTCAGAAGGAAATATGCCTAGTGTATGACCATATTTCAGGTTTTATTGCCTTAAAACACTCTCCTACTTTCTAGCATCTAATTGTAGCATACAGGTGTGAGAGTAGATATTTAAATGTATTTAATGCTCTTTTTCTGGAGGACTTTATTTTGCAAGGAATTTGAGTAGGAAAGCTGTAGAGAGATATTTCTCACCATCAAACTGATCACCAAAGACCGAACAAGGTGGACATTGGTCACCAAATCTTGTCTTGGCTACTTAGGAACCTAATCAGGTTCATGAGAATCAAGAACTTCAATATTTTTCAAATCTCCCAAAACAAAACCTACATAAGTCAATTTCATTATAAAATAAAAATGAATACAACTGTGAGTAGATCTTCAAAAGGCAGAGAAAAGGGTAGAAATGGATGAAAAAAGAAGAAGAAAGATGCCTTCCAAACTCTCAGGCCAAAGTCCCACCATCTTTCAGCCTCTTAAATTATTTAGTAGCTCATAAACAAAAAGCTGTTTTACATAGCAATGTCTTGGTGCTGAATATAAACAACAGCAAAAAAAAGAAAAATCCAAGGAAGAACTGTAGATGAAAGAGAATGTTACTTTCCCCAAAACTGTCTCCAATACATATGATTGAGTGGGAATCATCCCCAAGTACCTGTCTGAGATCAGGATATAGATGAGGAAAAACATGGATGAGGTTCAATTTACACTAAACTAAAACCCCTGTTGGGGGAATAAGACAAACAATTAGAAAATAGAACAATAAAAAGAATTATTTAATTGAGAACATTTTTCAGTGATGCTTTACTTGTATTTGAATAATCTCAGCATAGCTGGATTCCAAATTGCAACAAAAATCATTTTTTAGGAGCAGTGGTGTGACTTTGTATCACCCCCTCTTTCCAAGGACAGTGTCTCTCTGATTAATAAAAGCTCCTAAAATGAAATTAATCTTAAAATCACTTAGAAGCTAAAGACAATGGGAGCATGTCAGTGAAAGCATCTTGCTGGAGACAGATGAGGTAAATCTCTGCCTATAATTCTGAGCAGTGATATCTGGCTACTTGTCATTTCCAGGTGAAGTCTGAAAGCTGACAGGCAGGGAAGTGATGAACGCTCTTCAAGATCTGTCATGCCATCATTGTTGTCTATGATGTTACTCAGTCCAAAGTAACGGAAGTTCAGCAGGGCCTCATCATGTAGGAGCCCACATCTACATAGCTTAACAAATTCTGAGAGTAATTTCAAATACAAACAGCATAATTTGCAACATGATTATTTAATACAGTTTATAAAATACTTTGTATTGAATAGAAGGACTAGACAAGCACAAACACATTATTATATTTTTGAAGGCAAAAAACAGAATGGAATGTGCTTTTAGCAAATACTAAACTTGAAATACTATGCATACTTTGAGAACAATGAAAACTGCTCAGGAAGTCAAGTGAAATTTGACAGATTCAGCTGATAGAAATCACAGAGAATTTTTTTATTACTAAAATATTTTTCCATTTTCTACATTAAATTCTTTAACATTCACTCTAAAAGAATCCACTTGTTTAAAAATGGCTTTTATTTCAAACCCCAAATTTCAAAATCTTAAAGACAAAACCAAAGCACAATAATCCTATAAAAATTTTCTTATTTTAGACCAAAGAAAGATGGTTTTGTTGGCCAAATCTGATTCTTTTTGAGCAAAGCACTGAGTCAAAACTTCATGACTTGCAAACCTGTATTTAGATGCCACAACCTGTAACATATATTTACATGATTCTACAAGGAAGGTTTCCCCAGAATTAACATATCAAAATTTAGACAAGCTCCCAAGCCATTATTTTTTTTTCTGAATGTGAATGTGGATGGGTAGTTTAATAAATTAACCTCTTTGAAATAACTCAGGTGAAACTGACAGCACAGAACTGAAAACAACAGGTCAGCCTTTTGTTAATGAACAGTTGTCATGGAAACCCTTTTCTTGCTGCATCTCCAAAGTAAGAAAACTGTTCTTACTTATTTCATCATCACTGCTGGCAAAGACCAAAAATAAAAATTATACTATCCCCTGAAAAGCAAACAAAGATGTCTGCATTCCAAACCAAAAAAACTATGATCTCAGAAGGAAGAATACAAAATTATCTGTACATTTATTATCTTTAATGAAATCTTCTGAAGTACTGGAATAATCAAGATCCTGAAAGTCTCCCATTCAAGCTCACTGTCTAGTCTCACCTTATTTTCTTGATATGCTGGCATGAAGCTTGAGGTCAAGTGGGTTCTGTAGCTGAAAAATTCTACTGCTTTCATCTTGTGTGCAACCCCCAACCTTCTTTTTCTTTTCCATACTCAGCTTCAGATCCAGAAAAATCCACTCCTTTACACTTAGAACAATAATTCTCCACTGCCTGAGAAACTGAGGTTCTTACTACAACTAATGGAGATTAGTAAGTATGAAGAAATTACAAAAAATATTATTTTGCCTTTACATCCCCGAATCTAAAGAAAGTCCATGGATCACTGTTTGGATTCTGTACAGCACCTGTTAATTCAAGTAACATTGAACTTAATTCAGTCCTGAACTAGACTACCAGGAATTCCTATGAATTGCTATTAAAAACTACTTGTACACATACTTGCTGAGTCATAGTTTAGACTACTTTCAAAGAAAGACAGTCTTTTAAAGTCTCTGTTTTACAGATTGCTTTTTTTTTTTGCAAGGGGTGTCTGTAAAGGACTCAAAGGGCTGTTCATTGAGAAATATGGAAGAAAGAGGATCTTTTAGGTATATTCAGAAGAAGATGGAAAAAGAAGTGACTGCTCACAAATGAGATGTAAGAGTTTTGTGAAATTCACAATGTCTTTTGTTTGACATTTATGGTAGATTGTTTTGCACAGTTTTGTAACTATTGAATGTCTGATTTTTTTTTGAAAAAATGGGCATTTTACATCTGAAATGTTAAAATATACCCTTAAAAATGTTCTCATATGAAAAGACATCTCTTTTAATTCTATTTTTAAAAAACAACACTTAAAAAAATCCTCACAGATCTTGATTTTGACTTGGTTTTACCAAAAGAGGGAACTGGTTTTACCAAAGAGAGGAATTGGTTTTTCTTCTACAGTCTGCATGCTTTAGCAAAAATTCCCATTCCTAAATTTAAAAAACAAGCATGAATACTTTAAATGTAAAATTGTGTAAATTTTCTATAAATCTTTTACTTAGTTCTATATCACATTCTATTACAAATACCTTTTTCTTTCTTTATTATTTTTTTTAAAGTTTAGCTTTTTCTTTGAGCATTGTTTAAAGAAATAGTTTTTATTAATTGAAATGAGCTGCAGCATATTCATAGGACTTTTGTAGGATGCATTACACAAGAAAAATTAGAGCAATTTTCCATTAAATGGATTTCCTGTAAGTGAAATAGCAATTTAAACTTTATGATACAAAATTCCCCCAAAATTTTATACAATCTTACAACAGTCTTACAGCTCTCAAAATTTAATTTTAATTACTGAATGACAATACTTTTCAAAATATCTTAGCAGTCCCATGTAAAAGTTGAGAATGCACAAATCCACAAAATGTGCACCAGCACCCTTTTCCAGATGACTTTATGGAATAATAGACATCCTCCAGTGAGCTAATAAGTATCAGTGGAGGATGTGGTGCTTAAGAAATTGCCCATCACCCAATGGCTGCACACTGACATCAGCTGGTAACTGTAAAAGAACTTATGGGTAAAGTAAGCAAGACATACTATCAACTATCAGTTTAATCTTACTGATGCAAGAATGAACATTCAGATATGCATGATACAGTTACTGCACATCAACCACCTACAATCCCAGAAAATGTTATGATGATATTCATAGAAATTAATTTTTAAAAAAACTTTTGAAAACACTGTCAAGTTTTGTTCTAGCTTTCAAACAGTGTAGGAGTTTTACCTTCTCAAATACTTTAGAAACAACATGCTTGTCCAGAACTGGGATGTATTTTGTACTGTGAAGGACAGTTGTAGGAGCTAAGGCATCCATGATGGTGAGTCGCCTAGCAGCCAAGCCATGGGTCTTTAACCAAAGAGCTGAAGAAGAAACATCTAGAGAGCTAGAAAAGAGAGATTGTGAGATGTAGCTCAAGGGAGAAATACATTTGAAAGGTTTGAAAAGACCTATACATGCACATACCTTTTAGATGCCTCTTTCACATTCTGCATTTTCAGATCTAAGAGAAAACATTTGCATTTTGTTATCTCAGAGGTTTTGTGCACACAAGAGTATGCATATATAAGTTGCCATATAATAGCACCATTTTTTAAATTTGAACTTACAAGCAGCATCATGCACAATGACTGTACAACATTTCAATTGCTAAATTAATCAGCGAAAATTAGTTTTCCTCGCCTTCCTGGTGCTTGATCAATAGTAACAGTGCTACTATATGCCTCATGAGCCCTAATCAGCCAGAGAGGAAATTTATAAAATAGAAAGGCAATTTGGTTTTTAAACTGAAATTTGCTTCAGTTTATTTATTTTTGACCAAGACCAAAGATTAACTAGCTTATTCCCCAAGTCAAGATGTGACACCAAGTACTACTACTAATGAGATGGCCAGGAGTAGTTAATTTAAGGTACACCACTAAGAAAATCTCTATAAAATATATATTAAAAACTAAACATAAGATGCTGAAATGTAAAAAAGTCAAACATTTTCAAATGTCATAGGTAAGGTTTTAGAATGACTTAGAAGATGTATCATAAAGTTCAGAGTTGGACTAATTACTGAAAGAAATTAATACTATCTGGATGTATTTCTAAGCCCCATTGAAAACCTACTTGTAAACAGCTAGTTTGGGAACTGGCAGGAGTCTGGCCACAGCTGTAAGGACACTCTCACAATACCCAACTTCATGTCCAGCTCTGTATCTCTGTTGAGTTTCAGTCCTTTGTACTGCAGATCTGCACAGTTTTGCCTCAAATGAGGTATCATTAGTTACAAATGTAATGAGAGAAACCTTACCATCTTCCCCAGTTGGAGCTTCTTGTTCGGTCAACTTGCCTTTGAAAATGGTTGTACATTTCACACCGTTTTTGACAGAAAAACTCTTTTCCTCTGGTGACAGTCCTTCCTCTGGGCTTTCTTCCCTAGATTTCACATCACTGTTCTGGATTTGCAGCAGACTTGTCTTTGTTTGATCTGTAGGTGTTGAAAGGGAAAGAAAGGAAGAGCTAACTTACTGCTCAAATACATGCCTGAGACTTTTGTGTTCCTCTTTGGTATTCAGTTTTTAAGGGACTACCTAAACAATACATCAAACAGAAAACTAGTTCAACACTAAGTTGTACTTTGTATTTTCCCTGAAGATGAGGGTTTATTTTACTTCAGCTGAGTAAATTTAGTTTCAGATTGCATACAAAGGACACTTCCAGGAGAAATGTAGTATTACAGGTGTAGTAAGGAGAAACATCAGTGTAAGTAATGCTGTAATTGGTACAATATATATATCACCTCTTCATTCTTGCCAATTATGTACTTAGAATAAAAAGAGATTAGGGTTTAATATCTACTGCCAAAAAACTGTTTACAGAGCTTTCAAAACATTCTGTTAAAATAGCTACCTGTGACAAAGCACAAATGAGCAGACATTTGTATGTCTGTTTGGGCCAAATAAGTAGGATGGCTGAAAAGTAGAGATGAAGAGAAGTTTAGATTTTCAAAATTATGATTACTTAAGTCAGCAAACTATTAATTTGTTCCCAAACGAGGGATGATTTTTGCTATTTCCAACAGAATCTTTTCAAGTTAGTGAATGCATTCTGCTGACAATTACACCTCATTTGAGTCTTACCTGCATGTAATGCTTTCTTTCTTTGAGCTGCACTGGCAGCAGTGCTTTGCCTGGTTTGCTCATGTGATGGCACTGATGGTTCTTCTGAAGCACAGCACGGCCTGCTCCTAAGAGAAGTACTCAGCTCTTCAATGTGTTTAGAAACAGGGACACAGACAGTGTGTCTGCTTGTGATTACAGCTTGTAAGTGACAACAAGAAATTACTGCAAATATATAACACCCGTTTAAAAAACACTAAGCTGAAGTTTTCTGGCAATTTAAGCACTGATTTCAAATGCTTTGAACAGTGCGAAATATTTTTTCTGTTATACTAATACGCATTTCAAAGGAAAGTTCAAAGCAGGTTAAAATATTCTTTGGTTTTTAAATTATTTAAATGTAATTTCTTTGTTTATTTGAAATATGTTCATTACTTTTAAGATAACACTCTCATATATTTGTAATAAGAAAATAAAGCTTTGTTATAACTGCTTTGAATCCCAGGGCTAAGTAACTACCATCAGCAATGAGAATATCTGCCACATACATACATATACACATATATATAAATACACACATATATATCTATGTCCCAGCATAAAATAAAATATGCAAATTCTGAAATAAGCACCTAGAAATATTTTCATACTGAACATCCTATGTGCCCTTTCACACATGAAATTATAACACATCACTGTCCACTTTTAATCATTTTTACTTTATTTTCATTCTTTTACTGATTTAAATAGATTTCTGTCAAAAAAAACTGATTTCTTTTAATGCATTTTTAATGTTTTTTAATATCACCGCACAAATAAATACACAAGTATATTTGTACACAATTTATGTTTCAATCAGAATATCTCAATGAGCGGCCATTTAGTCATGGGGTATCAAGCCAGCTCTACTTAGATGGCAATAATTTTTCATTAATTCTCTAGGTCAGAGGGACCGATTTTACTGTGTGTTGGAGACAAAAAAATGTTTTCCCCTCTTTGATTTAATATTCAAAATACGTTGAGACTATTGGTACATTTAAGATAATTTTGTTTCAGGCATCATAGTATTAGTAAATTTTTCCAGATTTTTCTTTTCCATTACCTCGGCTCTTAAAAAAACTCCCCAAGAGTAAGAAAGCAACAACCTTTTAAAAAGGAAAAACATAAGAGCTAGTTCAAGCCTATTATTAACATAATAACAAAATGAGGACATACTTCTTCTCTGGATAATTTTCTTCACTATAAGAATTCATCATCAGGCTTTTCTCAAGAAAGGTCTTCACTTTCTCTAGATCTTTCTCTCCTTGGTTAATTTCTCTTTTCAAAAGATGTATGTCTTTATTCTAACAAAAACAAAATCAAATGTTTTAGTACAATTACTGCAAAATATGTTTCATTTCTGAACTGAAATGATGCAAGTTCTGATAATAATTCCGAATAATGACTCAGGACAGCTTCCAAAATTTGTATACCTTTTCAGGTAGGCTCTTGCGCTCGGCTTTATAGCCTTTCAAATTATTCTTCCTTTCTAGGAAAATGGCAAGCATTCCCTAACTAGCCAGTTACCCCTTGAGATATGAACAGCTGTATTTCTGAATAAGGTAATGAGGTCACTAGCTCCACTCATTTCAAGAAAGCAAGAAAACAAGTAAGCAAATAAATAAAATACAAGATATGTACATTACAGGGAGTAGCCTGTCATTCCACAGATCTCAGCTGTACCATAGTGTCCCAGTCCCAGGGAAGCAAAAAAACATACTATTCAAGTGAACACTGGAGCTGACTAGGAATCATTTAGGCTAGAGGAGGAAACAGGAAGGAAATTCCAACAATGATCCCTGTACAGCTCCCACAGGGCCACAGGCTCCCATGTCCAAGTCTGTGGATGTACAACACAGACTCTGGTCCTCATTTTTTCAACATGCGCAGTGTCACGCAGTCCACACCAGCAGAGTCACTGAAATTGCCTGGTACACGGACATTTTTCAAGTGCTAGATTATTGTCACATCTTCCTTCTAATTCGTCAAGTTTCCCAGTGCTTTCTTCTTACTGCTTGTTCTCATGGTTCAACTACCACCATTTCTGAAATCTATGCAATCAATTAAATGAGTGTTAATTTTAATAAAAAACAAGAATGTGTTTCAAAAGGGGGTTTCTGTTAGTCTATTCAGAAATTTCCTGTTGGGGATCGTTGAGCTGCTTAGTCAGACTTGATAGATGACTGCTATTCTAGTCATCTTACTCCTTCTAGATCTCTCCCAAGCAGCTACTGTAGAACAAACTTGAAACAAAATCCACAGAATCATTATCATTCAAATTCAGCTCTGCATTCTCTTATTTATTAAAAAAACACAAAACATATTTTTCTTTTAAACTGTAACTTATTTCTGAAACAGCAGAGATCACATGTTTCTTCCATAGAAACATGGTCTACATGTACTTTTAGGTTTTAGTTTTCAAGCAGGGGGCATCAGGAGAGGGAGAATGTGTTTGCAACTATAGCACTACAAATGTACTTTGTACATTTGTATTTGTATTTAGCCTTTTTTATTGTCATCTAGAAAAGTGTCACAAGCAGAACAATCATATTATTGCTTTCATATCACGTCCAATCTGACTAGGGTTAACCCTCTCTTTTTTAGTAATCTACTGTAATATGAAATCCCAGTAATGCAAGTCATGTGGTTCTTCAAAGGAGCATGAAGCAGCAAATCTATTTATTTTCAGATACTCACAACAATAAACTCTGTAGTATCAGGATCACTCAAATAAATATTGTAATAATGAAACCGTCCCTCTGTTTTAGTAGATAGTTCATACAAAAATTTATTGGCTTCTATATCATCATAGTTGAAGGATACAGTATGGATGGGAATTTTACAGTGAAGTTGGACTTCAGCCAAAATTATCTCGGGGGGCTGAAAATAAAAAAAAAACCGTTATGTGAAAAATGTGGCATCTAGAAACATATTTATCAAAATATGGAAAATTTTAAGAATTTAATCCGTCGTTCTGTTGCTCAGAGACAGATATAGATCAGTTAAAAGCATCCACTTTATACAGGTTGCTATTTCCATCAGAAATTAGCTAAATAAGTTAATTTAAAACTGAGTTCGAAAGACTGATAAGTGCATTAAGGCAGATGATGTAAATTGTAATATAGTCAGTACTCTTTGTTTCTGAAGTTTTAAAATAAATTGCTAGCGTTTAGGAAATTAAACTACATTAGTGTTTAGTATCACTGAATTTATATAAAAATATTTTTGGAAGTATATAAGTGTGGATCTTTAGAAGAAACCAAATTAGTTCAAAGTTGAGTTAATACTAGGAAACAAAGTAGGGGCTGAGAAAATAGGAAAGCTAGTTTCCTCCTCCCATAGAGAAATAAAAATTACGTGAAAAAGTAGATCAACCATCTCCAAAAATACTGAAGGATCTGGTAGAAAAAAATTATTGACTCAGTTCTCTAAATTCTGACATTTCAGTTGTTCAAAATACTTAAAAATCTTGACAAATTAAGCAATGTTTGCAATATAATTGTTGTGTTGGTTTCACTTTAACACTTAAAGGTAATATCAGCCTTTATTTACCTGTTAAAAAGGTATAAAATACATTATTAACAAGGTAAAAAGAAATCACTTATTCACTAATTTTGACCTTAATAAAAATATTAACAATAAGAATATGAATTGTACATGAAGCCAAATTATTCTTTGGTAAAATATTAAGTTATGCTCTTAGCTAGAAAAACTGTGAAACAATGCCAATAAACATCCAAGAGACTCCACAACACTCAGCACTGCAGGCATGACATTCATCTCATAATTCCAACTGCTGACATCTCTTTTCTGCATTTTCTGTTTTCTCATTTTGAAATACCTGGTCAGGTCTCCCATCAGTCAAGAGATAAATAGCCTGAGTGTCATTATCAGCAAGAGCAATCTGGAGAGCTTTGAGTGTATTTGTGGAACTTCCAACCTAAGAAACCAAAGAGAAAATGACCAAGAAATAGCTATAAATACAAACAATTTTTTGCCTCTGTTCTTAAATTCATAATGACAGTATACTGATTCAAGGGATAATACAGAACCAAAATTACTAATGGTGAAATCATTTCTGTCATGTAGCTAACAAAAGCTAAGCAAGTGTCAAAATAAAATAAATTGGTACCAGATTGGTATTCAGTGCTTATGCAAACACACAGAAATAAAATGCTGGCAGCAGCAATCTGAGCTGTACAAGTAAAAGCAATCACTAAAAACTATAAACAGATAGGAATATATAAGTCACAAAATGCATTCTCTTCATTCTCTTTTTACCACTGATGCTCCTGCTTCCTAACTCATCACACTCCCTTGAAACACATATTTTACTTAAGCTAACGGTTGAAAAGTTGCTCAAAAGAATTGCACAGTTTTATTTCTCCAAAACTGGTAAAGGAGTTCTTGCTTTTCCAAACATATTTTTCCAGACTATCTTCCATTTACCCCCTTCACGCGTTATTGTAAGTATCATTTACCATTTATATTTTAGTGCAAAAAAGTTAGCTATAGCAACAAAACATGCCCAGCAAACTAATGTTGTGCTCACTAAAAATTTTGATTCCACTAATACTAGCACTTTTCCTATGTCATTCACATACGTAGTGATCATGATCTGCCTTTCTTCTTTTTACACTAAATTCAGTGACATGCATTTCATGGCCTAGGAACCTAAGTCCTACATTTCATATCTTCAAGTATCCACCTTTCAAACATTGTGTACAAAACCTTCCAAACTAAGGTTTACCAGTATGAAAAGCCATTTCATCAAATTTTAGTCTTTTAATGGAACCAAAGCAAAACCCCGAAAAAGGTAAGAGTCTGTTTTATGCTTATATAACACCTGAGTACTGTTCTGGAGGGCAGTGAGGATTGTAGCAGTGTAAGAAGAGATTCAGCATCCACATATATAACAGAAGATAAATGTAAATATCTAACATTGACCCATACATGCAAAAGTATGGAAAGAGATAGCATTACTTCTTCAGTCCTATGAACTGTGTTAAAATTTCTTCCAGCCCTTCCCACCAGGGTAAAGGAAATCAGGTGAAATGGAATAAAAGCTGAATTCGGACAGTTACTCTGTATGGCTGCATAAGAGTGTATGGGCCAGGCAATGTGAATAGCTCATCTACTTAATTATCTTATCTTCTGACTCACAAGCAATCCTTATCAGTACCCATTTGTAAGAAGTAACCAGCCAAAGTTGTTATATTTATCTAATACTCCTGATGTTTTAGTAATTATAAAGTTTTAGACACATCGCTCATTATCCAAGTGATATGGTGTAAATTGGCCGAACTGATTTAAATTGGCCAAACTGATTTAAAACAAAACAGCTTCCTTCACTTCTTTTTAAATCATCGGAACATAGGGTGGATGCTGATGATGTGCAGAAAATAATCCTGTACCTTATGATAAAAGCTGTTCATTTTATGTTTCTCAATTGCTACTCTTACAAATAAACACCAGTTTTATCAGTGTTTAAACAACGACATATTTCAACTATATAAAAGTACTACCACTAAAATTTTAAATGTTATCACATCTAAAGAATTTTTAAGGAGAAGTTATTTACTGCTTATAGCTCAGCTTCCTTATTCATAATCTTGGGATCAAAAAGCATAAAATGGGATCAACGGATCTACTCAGAATATGATTCCAGAGCAACCCTCTGTTCATTTCACCTTCACTGTAAAGCCAGCTTTTTGATCTCAGACTTATACCTGCTTAAAAGAGGTAAAGGGTCAGCAGCACATGTCATCCCTGAAAGAAAGTAGCCTGTTCTTGTGCCATTTCCTATTCCATTTCAGATACCTAGATCTGAACTTAGAATGAAATTTATAACCAAAAATTCATACTTTTATGAATAATTATGGGAAAGGGCATTCACTAATGCATATACAAGATGGTATCAAAGTATGGCAGTTCAAAGTATTATTGAACTTTCATGATGGTGTACAACACACATGACTTAAACAGAGACAAGTTTTCAAGCTCAAAGAGGGCAGCAAAATAAGGCTAAATAAGCTCAGTGTTCAGCTGCTTAGGGAGGCCACACTAATACTTCCTTTTCTCTGTGTGTTGGTCTGTTAGTGCTTTCTGAGAATACTAAGTTATTGATCTTGCTTTATAGTCTCAAAGGTATTATGCTGCTTACCCAATTGCCTCATCCCAGGAATTTCATATTAAGTCTGAAGAAGAGTTGTCATAATGCTAAGGAGTTTTATTAAATGAACATGAGCGTTTGTGCTAGAAAACATAATGTGGGATGTATCTATACCTTTGTGTGACTGATTTTTAGTCCTGTGTGCATAACATTGCTTTCCACATTTTTCATATTAAGTGGTCCTAAAACTGCTGATATTTACAATCTGGTGGATGACTGTGACTGACTACAAGCAGTTCTGCTTTGTTTCAGGGAAAAACACTCAGATTTTGGCCACTGTCAGAGAGCGAATACTGGGTAGACAGATGTTTGGTCTGAGTATGTCCTCATGTTTCTATGGCACCTAAAGTTAGCTGTCTATCCATCAAAAGGGACTAGAAATGCTAGTCTGGTTTGCTGGCTTTGATCTTCTGTACCACCTGTGAGCTGTAAGCCAGCAACACCTCTCATCCATGCAGCAGCCTTGGAGCAAGAATGACAAATTTAAATGCAGGGTCTGAGTGATTACAAGATTCCTATGGAATTCAAATTGGCCAATGCTCACATTTTGGCTACTAAACATAGGAGGCTGCAAGTTGAATTAATATAATTTCATAAACACGTTCATTGTTAAAGAATTATGATCTGACAAACACATTGTATTCAGATCTACTTAATTTTATCCATCATCTATATTGTCAGCTTACTCAAGTCAAAGACTTAAGTCTATGCAAAATCACCCCAGCCATACAGAATGTGAAGAAACATACACAACTTTGAACAAACAAAGAAACAAACACACTTTATTACAAACTCTTTGTCATAATTAGCTGCCATATTACCTCAAGCCCTTTTATCCAAAGCCAAGCATCTTGCAAATTTTCCTCATTAACTTCAACAAGTTTCTCCTGCCATGCCACTGCTTGGGCACTAAATTTCACGAAGTTAAATCTCTTCTTGTGTCTCAGTTGTTCCTGCAAGAGACAGCATCTGAATTTTACCTACTATTAAAAGAAAGAATACTTGTATCCTGAAACACTGAGTAATAGCAATTATTTTAATTACTATATAATTAATTATAAGATTGCAATAAATTATTTTAACATATATAAAAGTTATGGTGTCCAGAGAGACATATAAAACCAGAGACATTTATTGCTTGCAGCTATTAAGATTGCTTGAAATTCCCAAAGTAAGTCTTCATATAGTCATATTTCTCAAACAATTTAAACAGCAAATGTGTAGAGAGAGAAGAAACTAGATATGATCAGTGGTGTAAGAAAGAGATTATCCCTGCTTACCAGAGGAAATTGAAATCAGAAAGAAAGTAAGATATAATTTAGAGGAGGAGAAAAAGAATCATATAAAGAGCACTGGCAAGGAGAACTAGGACAGCAGGAGAAAATCAAGAATTTGCTGAAGCTACTTTTGCACAGAAGTTTTAAGTTAGGGAAGATTTGTGCAAGTGAGGACAAACTTTCAGAGCCTGAAGTCTTTGCCTCCCTTTCATCATTATTTTTGTGTAGCTTCCTGTGAAACCTTCTGGCACAGTATCTAATATATTTCTAGTGCTGATCTGCTTAGAGGACCACAAGATACTATGTCCTATGACTTAAGCACTTAGCTCAAAAACCTCTCTGCTATAGTTTTAATTTTTTTAGTCCTATCAATGATTGCTATCAATGCCAGACTGAATTTTCATCTCAGTTACTTCTCCTTGGACTAAAGAAATTTAAAATTAAGCCTATCTCTGAAATATTAATGTAGGCTTAGGTGACATCATTGTAGACTTCTAAAACTAGACAAGAAAATACTTTCTTAGGTGTGTCTTCCAGTACTCACATCTTTTGAGGTACTCCTGCACTTTGCCAGTCCCTGTGCAAAGTGCTGAGTCACTGTAAGATGCAAGGAAGTTCAAAACATTCTACATTCTCTATTGTAGGAGTATGAAAGTGAATCTAGAACATGCATTACAAATCACAAGAAGCCAATGGAATTGGATAACACTGCTTAAAAGTAAAAATGAAAATGCCAAAAGGTGTTTCATTGCATAGGTTGTTTTCAATTTGGGGTTTTTTTGGTTTGTTTGTTTTTAAATTTGCTTGTTTTTCTTTTATTAGAAGGGAGGTGGCTTGACAGAAAGAACTACTTAAACCTTTTTAATTTTTAATATTTTCTCTAACTTTTTTCAAATAGTTGTATAAATGAGGGGAAAATATAAATTCCTAATTTAAAAAAAAATGAGCACTTGAAGAAAAATCTTAATATTTTTATAAAGCTGCTGTTTTTGAAAAACTTTTTAAAAAATAAACAAAACGTAGAGTAACAACCATCCAGAAAAGATCAGTTTACTCTAAAATGCTCCTCAGCCTTCAGAGTCATCCCTTTATGATACCTGCATTAGCTGAAATAGTTTTTCCTTCACTAGTGGCAGCTTGTTGTTCATAGACTGGGATGTATCAATAAGAATATAGACATCATCTTCAAACACATTCCCAAAAAGCCCTCTGCTTCCTTGTTGAAGCCACTTAATCCTGGGGGAGGAAAAAAGTATCAAAACCTGTTCTGTAACATCTTTGGAGCTCTGTGTATCAGAATCTGAAAGGTAGGATCTTTTTGTCACTGCTGTACTTCATATTCTGTTTCCCAAAGCATCTGTTAGTAGTCATTGTCAGAAGCCCTTGATGAATCAGTCCCCTGTCCCTACACCACAAGACATTTTTAGTTTTTTATTGTTTTTTATTAGGTTTTTATTAGGTTTTTATTTCAGTAGATAACAATACAGAACCTTTATAAAGTCGGTTATCAGGTAGTTTGGGCTCAGAAATCCAACGTGAAAGCAACATGTAACAAGTGGTATAACTATGGTCCCTGTAGCTATTTTCCAGATTCATTTCAGTAAATCCTTTAAGCCTATACTACAATCTCTTCTCCAAGGAACTTAAGCACTTTGAAGACCCTTAATATAACACAGATGCTTCAATGGTTTGTGGACCTTGAGCCTTAAATACAGAGTTCAATTTACATTTTAAACGGGACTGGAATGTGCCAGCCAGTTAAATACATGCATACATCCTGCTCTGCACAACATTTCCTCAGTAATGGATGCAGCAAGTCCAAATCTGATTTCCCCTGAGAGTCATAAAATACTCATCTACACTGTAACAGGGACATTTAACACACAAGCATCATGGCACTGGGAAAAATATCCATCTCCACAGAAGGTTTCAGGAAAATTATATCATGGAAATATAAGGATACTGCTACAGTAGCTACTGATATATATTTTGCCATTAGTTATTTAACCCAAAGTGTTTCATGAGGTCTACCAAGACTTTTTAACATTCAAATGAAACAAAACAGCAATCTTGACTTGGATTTCAAAAATTCATACTCACTAAAACTGTTTATCTCAAATTTTCCTTTGACAGTATGTAAATGCTATCCTAAATACACTAAGATGAAGATAAACTAGAAGGAATAACAAAATTCTGTTTGACCTTGCTAAATATAATCAGATTATTATATTTTTGGTAGGGAAGGAGCAATAAAATTAAAAATTCACCAATAAAATGAAGCTTTGCATCCTGCTTTTTTCAGTGAGGCATCCTGTTGTCGTAATATACAAACCAGAAGGCAACATTTATTTTTTTCTGTTCTACAACATGTTTTCCTTAGACTTCCTATTATTTTGTAGATGTCATACAAAACCTAAGTGTCCATATGGCTGCAGAAATGTAAATTAGGCAGCTAGTTTGGGCAGTGAACTTCTGATCATGTGCATTACTTAATAGCTCACGCCCTGACTCTGATCTAGATTGTTCAAATTTGTCTTCAATACAAAACTGCAAAAAGGGCAGATAACCACCCTCAGTACAGGCACAAGCCAAGCTGTGTTTCTTGGTGTCACAAGGGATCCTAGGTACACAGGATGAATGTTTATAAGTTTATTGATGATTCTTGAAGTTGTCTGCCACCTTATAGTCCCAATACTTTTTGGCACGTTTAGCAGTAATTCAAAAATGGGCCGACTGACTTTCACACCTGTGTTTCAGAAGAACAAAAGTTCAAACTCTTTATCAGTTTTCTTCTATGGCTACTAAGAAATCCAACATAAAAGATTCTGATTTAAAATAGACTTCTGGCTTAGTACAGCTGCTGTCAGTTTACCAACCACTTCAACTTATTTTGACAGTATATGTCAAACTTTTCAACGCTCATGTAAAGTGATCAAACGGATTTTATGTGAAAGAACACAAACCTTCCTTCCATTTGTCTGAGAGCTGTCCTCATTTTCTTTTCATACTGCTTATACTTTTCTGTTGTAACATGTACATGAACTACAGATCCATCTTTCCAGAGGGTATGTACAAACTTGTCACAGTATCTTGCATGAATTATCTTCCTCTTTGTCTCCTCCAAAAAAGAACACATTTCATGTGGAAAACATATTATTTTGCAGTGCATTTAATATGTGGGGAACAAACTTCAAAGATGCATCCTTGTTGCACATGAACAGGAGAAGAAATAAACATGGGATATAGTGTTCACAGAATTTGCTCCTAGAAAGATTCAATACAAAGTGGTTTTATTCTTGCAGCAAGCAAAAAACAGAAGCTTACCAAACAGTCAATGGTAAAGCTTGAGAAAAACAAATAGAAGACAAATTAATCCAAATTTTCTTAAGGAACTAGAGGACAGTGCAGCATCTGAGACTAACACATCCTCTAAAGATAACAAGAATTCTTTGCCCCACCCCACAGAAATACAAAGAAAACCAAGGCATTGCTTAAGCCAGTTCTCATTGTTCCTTTTAGAATGTGAACCAGCAAGGAGTCCTTAAAGCAGTCATTCTCAAAAAGTTCTTTGAGACATTCTTATTCTGTCTCAATAATTAATAAATCTGATTTTAACAAAAAATACAAACAACAATGCCGTACACTGTATTATCAATTTATCCATCAATCAAGTTTTCAAGCTTTAAAAGAAAAATCAAACAACTCATAGGACATGAGGGAAAATGAACAATACTCACAGCATCAGTTTGTGAACATTCATCTTCTGGTTTAGTTTTTATGTCAACAGGTCCATCTACATGGCGAAAAACACTATCAGCAAGTGCCTCGTACAGTGTGAGCTTCTGAGCTTTCAAGCCATACTTCTGCAACCATTTCTCAGAAGTCAAATATTTGTCAGTTATATCTTTTGATAAGGGATTATCACCTTTGTTTGCTAATAAAGAAAATAAACAAACAAAATCTCCTGTAAAATATGGTTCATTTTGGATAAGCTATTTTCAAAACAAGACTCTGATACTGGAATCAAAATTGTCAAACTTGTTCTACTTGCTCTGATAGCACTGGAGTGAACAGATATTTCTGAGTGATTTTTAATAGTCTATACTCTGGCTGTAGGGTTTTTTCTTATCAGAAAACTTGCTGCAACAAATTCCTTTGTAATTAGGAAAAAAAAAACAAACAACAACAGAAGACAGGGAGCAAAGACAATAGTGAGAAGATCAACAAGATCAACATATAAAACAAATTTTCTTAATAGTTGAACTACAAAATGCCAGAAATTATTCCTGAATAAGATGTCTAACTTCAAGGAGATTCATTTGATAAACAACAGAAGATATAATTGAAAATACAGTCAAGATCATTGGTTAACATTAATCTTTTTAGAGATGGCTATTTAAAGTAAAAGGCAAACTACAATATCATATTGTTTCACAAATTTTCTAAGGACTATCTTAAGGTAGGGCACTGCACAACTCTAGACACCAGTATAGTGTACAGATAATACAGATAAAATAATGGCATACAGGATTCTCCACTGACTCATCACTATCCCAATAAACCACATGATAAGTCAGTGGGTCCCATAACAGGGTGAATTTATTTTGTCACACTTTAACTTTGGTGGACCAAGGTGGTATAAATGTCTATTCAGTTTAGATGCAGCTACAATGATCACAGTAGTGAGACCCTGAGCCTGTAAATAAATGTATCGAGGCATCTACTGCCCTTACACACACAGAGATCAGCCAAAATCAGGGCAGGTGCACAATCAGAGCCTGCTCGTGTGGAAACCTTTGCTTTATGATTGCTTGTGGTCCATAGAACGAACAACAAGTGTCACAAATGTGCTCACAAAACTTTGAAAAGAAAACTGTTGTTTTCTTTCTTCCACATGCTTTACATAGAGCATCTCCATTTTTGCAGGACTGAGTAGCTTCTCACTGTCCTTTGTTAAAGCCTTCCAGAACAGAACTTCAGAAACCAGCTATGCTTCTGTCTCCAACAGGGCTGAATCAAATAAATACGCACAGAACAACAATTGAGTCATGTTCTAGGCCAAACATAATGGCAGAAACGATGGGTTGAATGAACAAATGTAGGTGTTCCTCTATGTTTCTTAAGACAGGAGTTCTCAGAGTACTTATTCTGAATTGTTTTCAGATCTCCACCCTTGACAAAAATGCAGCCCCTCTGCTTCTTCCTTTTACATGGAATGAACTAGCTATCAGGCTGGAGGCTATCCCAAGAAGACTGTGACAGGAGAGGGATGAGGTATTTCTCCAGCACTGTGTAGAAAAAATGGAAGATTTACTGGTTCAGGCAGACAGGAAGAAATGACAAAAAAACCCAACAAATAATCTCCATATCCTAAAATGCAGGTAACTTCTAAACCTAGTCACTGGTAAACTAAAAATGGTCTGTTTCAGCCTGACCTGTTAAAGTTTAGCAAGTTTAGGCCATAGTAAACAGACATTTGTATTGGAAAGTCTTAAGCAATCCTAAGTTTAGATAATATTATAGTGCTATACAGGCATATAGGTGCTATACCCTGTATACAGACATTTTGGAGAAAATCATCCCCGAACTGATGTGCAATCAAAACTGTTCACAAAAATGTGTTGATCATTAATATAATAGTAGCTATCTTGAAAGAAACATAAATTATACCTTCCTGAGAAGCAGACTGGTCAGACTCTGATAACATTTCCTGAACCTGTCTCACTGTACTCCTAGCTTCCTCCAGCTCCTTCCAGATCAAAAACACATCTTCACGGACACCAGCTACTGCAAGAAATAATAAACAGAATTTCACATGTAGCTCCTCAATCACAACAAAGTCATTGGTATACCCAGATTTTGCCATATAACCTTGTTTTCTTGAGGCCCTGTTACAGTGACAAATGCTGTTCTCTGATAGACTTCAAAAAAAGACCTCAAACCTAGCTCCAGGATATGACAAATGTTTAGTATATTGGAGCTAACCTCCAAAGTTGGCCACAGATTGTCCCCACAGTAGAAGCAAATACATTTTAGCACTCTTGGAAAATAATAAGGAAAATCCACAATGAAATTCACTTGTTGCCCCCTGAACTTCATTGCAAAACTTGGTTCCAAAGAGTAAGCCCAGTTTTGATATTTTAAAGATAAGGCAATTTTGAGTCTTTCCATTTCCTAAAGTACATAATTAATTTTATTTAACTTTTCTTTCTCTGATGACTATCTAATGAAATTTTGGTAAAGATAAATTAATTTTCATCCTTACAATCATCAACAGTCATAAACAAATGCTACAAAAAAAAAAATTTCACCATCAGGCTATATTTTCAAAAAAAATAGAAAGATCCAAAGCTGGAATTGAGATAAGGTTTTCTTAATTTCAACAGATATGCCTTCCATGATGAAAATAATTAAAATAAGTATTTGTTTCTTAAAATAAAATTGAGACACCTTGTATATCTAAGCAATAGGATTGCTATTAAAAATGTGTTAAATTAAGTTACTCTCAGAGTTTAAACTGCAATATTGGACAGTGCAGAGAAACCATGTGCAGTATTACATTAAGAACTAAAAGAAACTGAATCATCAGCTATCATAACCACAAATACAGACTACAATTTATTGCAGATCACAACCTATTAATGAACTGCACGTAAAAATGCTGAACAAGGCCAACTGTATCTTATCATCCAGTGGTTCAGACAGTGATGGTTTACTGTATGAAAGATAAGATATGCAAATTTTCTACTGACGTACGCTGCCAGTTATTTGATAAACTTTCTGGAATAAATAATAATAATTAAAAAATAATGATGATGATTATAACAATAATAAAGTTATACAAATAAGAACTCCATTTTAATTGTGAAATGCTTTCAGTTTCCAACAAATATTTTGAATTGTGCTATTGTACACTGCCATCTCCTGGGACTTTCCTGCATTTCAAAACAACTGTTGCAGCCATTAGAACAAAGATCAACATTTCCTAAATCACAAAAAGCTTCAGTAAGGCAGATCAGTCCATAACATGAAACACAAAAGAGAGGAAAAAACCCTCAGTCTGTATTCATTAACTGTTAAACTTAAGAAAAATATTCTCTCAAATTTTTCAGAAATAATTCAACTTTTATTTTATAAGCAATCTCTCCCCAGAAATGCAAACACATGCAATTACACCACACATGAACATAGTTCTAAATTTAAGGCTGTGAAGAACATAATTCCAGTGGTGCTATCTCCAACTAAATCTGGATACACTCCACAAGCTGTCAATTACTGTCATACAGATTTAATTTTATGACTATTTTAAATATTTTAGAATATTTTTAATCATTTGAAAACATTGAAAGAAGTTTGTGTACTTTACCTCTGAAACAATAATGAGTATATCATTGTGTTGCTTCATTTCCCCTTAAATTGATGCTATGGACTCATTGTTACATTAGGATAGATTGAGTTGGTATTACATGAGAAGATATTTTGACCTCATTTATGCTTGCAGCACAGCATGCCCTTTCAAAGCAAGTGTGTTTGATGTCACTTGCTACACAGGACAAATGCGGGCACCAAGAACTGCCTGTGAAATTCCAGCTGCTTAAAAACTTTTTTTCTGACAACATTTTCCCTGGATTCAAATGGGAGAGAAGCTTGCAAGCAGTGATATCCACAGCAGCTTTCTCTCTCTACACAGGACGCTCAGATGCACCTCTGCTTCAACCTCTTTTCCCCTACAGCTAAGGAATGGCCTGTGTCTTTCAAAATGGAACCCCCAAAATCAAAACCTACATGCAAGGCATAAGATCTTCCAGATGTGGCTCTCAGTTGTGGCCCACCCCTCAAAGCACATCTCTGGTAAATGACCGAGAAAGCATGCACCTCACTTTGTTTAAATTCCCTCTGCTCACGCTTCAGGTATGCCATTTTTTGGGGAACACCAACTAAAGAAAGTCACTGCTCTGAAGGGTGCAATTCCCAACCATTCCAAGCCACTACCTCTTGTACACATTCAGGCACTCATGTCCCAGGAATAATCTTGTCTTAAAAAATTATTTTATCCAGGGGGTGAAAGGGCCCTCCTGGTTCCCCTTGCCATGAAGCACTTTCCCAGCTGCTCTGGGCGGCAGTGTAAGAGCCAGACCGCTGAGGACGCCCCATTTCTGATTCAAAACCCACCCCTCTGCAATGGCAGGAGGGTGGCCACCAGTCACACACTCTAGGGGACTGGCCTGAACAGCCTGCTGCACATGTCAGCCTGCGCCAAGCGCAGTCAGCTTCCCTTGGCTCTCCCCAAAGCCACCCTGACCCTGCAGAGGACCTCATCCTGGGTGATGGTCCCGGAATGCCCTGCCTGCAGGTAAAGGCGTTTCTGCTCTGGAGAAGGGAGGGCCTAGAAAAGAGGAAGAGGATGAGGAAGGTTGCGGGGAGAGCCCGTGGCAAGGGGCAGAAGCATTTTGCTGACGCCCGCGAACTGAGAAGCAAGATGTTAGACCTAAGCAAAAACACAACCACACTTGCACGCGTACATGGAAACTCATAACTGCCCTCATTTCCACTTCCCAGTTAACTGGCAGACAATCTCAAAAGAGGCAGCTTTTCCACATGTACCTATCCACAAACAAACTTATCCAGTTTGACAAGTCACTGTAACCGATTTGATTTCCATATTGCTAATAAAAAAATCCTGCTTTTAAAAAAACAAAACTAACCCAACAAAAACCCTACAATATATTCAAAATCTCTACAATATCTTTGAAACAGGAAGCAAATACCAATACAAAAGCAAATAATGGAAAACAGAAGCATTTTTTACTTGTCTTAATATGTGACTTAAACCGTGGAAGCAAGAAAATCCAAATATAACGAAATAATATCTATTTGAAAATTAATTTGCTGGCAAGAGAAGATAGGAAAATTGATTTTCTTCACTGCCAGTCCCTTTCTCAGCCTCCACGTGGCAGCAGAACACAGCAATACGCCTTTACGCATTAATTTTTAAAATCTCCACTTAGAGGGGCATGAATGAAGGCACAAAGAAACATAAGAGGGTAGTCCACAGCTTTGACCTGCATACCTGCCAGATCAAACAGCACTGAAACTTACTGCAGCCCAATCCTGACCCTTTTCCACTGGGCAAATGGACAAAGCAAATGAACTTTGTATCCCATGTGGTATCACAGAACAGCTTCTGCATCACTCTCTACATATTAGCAAAGAGATTTGCCAGGCCAAGGTTAGGCTGCTAAGACTAGACAAAGCTCACGCAAGAAAAAAGCAGAGGCAATGATCTTTGCTACAGCTTCCAGGCAAAGTAGCTACTCTTCAGTCATTATTCTGGCTGTCCAAAGGGAGAGTTCAATCTTTCTCACGTCAGTGTACATAAACAGTGCAGAGTTCATTGACTTCAATGTCATACAGGAGAATGACACTCTTATGCTTTCCTTTTTACACACAACAACGTGAAATATTCCCTATCAAGTTTCCCTAAATGTGAAAAGTCAAGCACATCTAAGACCAGAGCCTTATATTGCTCACAAGGAGGTCAGACACTTTGGATTTATCAGATCAGTAAAATCCTGATTTCAGTCCATTTGCATGTTCTCTACACATGCCAGCTCATCTATTCCACCACACAGAAACCACTACACAGAAATTTACTGTTTCTATGTCAGCCACCGAGGACTCTCTATTCATTTTAGGATCTAGTTCAAAGCACCACTGCTTTTCAAGCACTATGTAGCAGTTATCGTCCTGTTACTCCAAGCAGATGACACAAATGTGCCCTTTTTCAGAAAGACATCTTTTCTCTACAGCTTCCACCATTCCTTGCCCTCTATGTCTTCAAGTTCCAACTTAAATGTCACCTCCTTTCCACTTATAATTTTAACTACATAACAAGATTGCTTCATTCTACAGCTTTTTGCAGATAAATAAACTGCACAAAGAATGTAGGCAGAAGTGATAACAAGAAAATTAGTGCTAAATGAGAAGATATAATCACATTGGTGAAATAAGGCTTTATGTAAAAGCATTTCTCTGTCAGAAGTAAATCTGAGGTTGCCATCATAAGGACTCTAATTCTTAATGAGTTACACGTGTTTTGATCTTGAGCACCCACTCAAAAAGAGTGTAAAAAATTGTCATTTATCACACTTGCTTTCTAAATGTCTGCTCAAGTTGCAAAAGAGGTGAGAATTGAGCTCTTATCTAAAATTTTAAATAGTTCTGACTTATTTTGTTAACCAGATGAAAAGGAATAAACATAAAAATATCCAGTATTTGCAAAATGCTGATATTCAGTGGATACCCAGAAACTATAAGATGTCATTAAAACAGCTTTTCCAGTCCATATAACATCATTGTGAGTTTCAGCCTCCAGCTGTTGCATTTGTGGTGCAAAAAGGAACATAATCAAAATATTCCTGCGCCTCCCTTTAGATTTTACAAACACCACATTAAATCTCTGGTTCATTCTCTATTTATTTCCTTGCGTAGTTTATGCCACATACCCAAGAACCAGTTTCAGAGACCATTAGTGAGTAATAGACACTTTTATTTTTATTGCCCTATTACTACACCCTTGAAGGAGTCTCTGAAACAAGAGGAATCAGACATAGACCAGAATAATGTCTTCAATGTGTTCTCTTTTCTGAAACGACTTAAAATTCTGTATATGACTGAAATACTCCAATTGGCTGCCAGTGATGTCATGGCTGTGCTTGTAATACCCAGTAAATGCAGAAAGCTAATTGTGTTCCTTTTTAATGTGTAAATTCTACTCCATAATAGCAATAAGACACAACCGACAATGCACTTCAAGGGGATTACTGCCCTTTTGAGTGATTAAAGCTATTCAGCTTTCAGCTTTAGAAACAGTGGTGAGGAAGTACTTTCAGTCATACAGAAGCTCTAGGCTCATCTATTGAAACAGGCTGACTGCCCCAGGGGAAGAGGGAGGCAGCTCCCACCATGCACACCCCCAAATTTGGTACAGCAAGAAAGCACTCACACCAGTCTGAAGGCAATCATTATACTGCTCTGCATTAGTATGAAACGGCAGTGTTTTGAAGTAGACTCTGCTGTTGATTTCTAAACTCTGCATGGGTGAGGCATGAGTGTCCCTTCACAACTCAAAAAAGCAGGTGACACCTCACTACTTTATTTCTGTCCCCCCACAATTGTTCTTTCTCTTGTGCTGTTATAATCATGGTCCTAGTGAAGGATAGGTTAGTATGCAAGAAACTTGATTTCAACCCAAATATGGGCCAGTCTGTCCAAGGTCGGCAAACAGCCTTACATGAGACACCAAATCCACCTTATGCCATACATTCTCTAACAGTGAGAAGAGGATAACATTGTTCTACCTTTGGGGCAACACTAATGCCCCCAGCAAAAAGGAAGAGTAGGGGTAGGTGAGTTGAGCTACTAGAATAAAGACATCTTACGATTCCTGATGCCTAAATGTTTTTGTTGTTTTTTTTTACTCTCCTGCTGAGAAAGACATCAGATTTGATTCACAAAGCCTCACTTCACATCACAAGCCCCTCTCCTCCCACCCTGGCTGAAACCACAGTCCAGTCCCCCACTTAAGATTTACCCAGAGGAAGTAGCACTGTGACTAATATGAAACACATTGAGTTTTCTGCCCAGCTCCACCCACCAATGAAATTATTTTGGTTGTTTCCTCCTGGTATTTTTTCTATCAGTCCTCCCACCACCACTTTGCACTGTTTTCTCTAAGGTCACTTTACTGTGCTTTTTGCCTGTCTTTGTGACAAATTCTTGAGACAAGCAAGTAAACCTCATGTTGATTTAATCCTCTTATATTAACAATGAACTTGGCCTATATTGATGTTGGCTGTTTATCACATGGTCTACCACACTATTCCTCTTCCTTTTAACTATTTCTCCATAGATTTCCACAAAGTCACTGGCACAAGCACACAAGTACCATTCTTCATATTCCTCAATAAATTATCTTCTTTTTTTCACTTATCTTCTCACATGCACATCTTCTACTCTCTTCATCTTTCTCTTTTCTTTGCCCTCTCCTTCCCACACAGAGAATTTATATTTCCAGAGCAGTCCTGTCCTCACCCCACCCACACCTACAGATTTCTTTTGATTTTACACTCATCAAATTACTAAACTACATTTCTGTTCTGACATCTTTCTGATAATATCAGTGTAATCTTGGGGTTTATATTGTCTACCTTGTGGCATTTGCCCTTTTACTTTTCCAGAGTTCAGGGCAGTTAATCTTTTTCCATCCTCTTCATATTTTAGTGCAGGTCCAGTAGCATCTCTACAGTTATTCTTCTCAGCAAAAGCATGGAATCTGTAATACAAAATTAATTTCAACCAGTACACAAAATACATAAATATTTCTCAATTTTTAAAGATATGTTTTTCACGCACACAATTACAGAATTATATCTAAAGCTTCAACTACAATACGATTATTCATATTTTCAAACTTTTTATATACATTTATGTACTTTCTGAAGTCTTCTCATGTAGAATATTCTTCCTTTTTGATATTACTAACTGCAAAGCACCTTACTCTTCAATTTCCTGGAAATCTATTTTTAATTAATGCTTTTAAGAGGCTGAGCAGGCATGTAATTTGAGATGTCTGAGATGACACTAACACCTTTTCATCAGATTATCCTCCCAGCTGAAAGCATAGCAGGAACATTTATTTCATTATGGACATACAAATCAGGATGACAAGCAGACTTCATTTATCCTCATTGTCAAAACACAGAAGCTCTCAGAGAAGGAAAAAGATGCATTTCTAAAATAGAAGTACACTAGAAACAGGTTCAAGGCATGAAAAGCCCATTAACTTGGCTGTTCCTGTGGGAAAGCTGACTTAAACTTATGTACAGTTGTTGGGCAACTATCCACCAGCAAGTTATTAACAGGCCCTGTAAGTCTCTGCACGAAAGTTAGACTCGTGCAAAAAGATGACAGTGAGAATAGTATCAAACAAAAAAATTCCTCTCAGCTCCCTGCCACAACCCTTTGTGCCTCTGTCTACACCATGCAAGAAACACTCACTTTCCTTTAATAAAGAAGGTATAAACACTGCCAAAAGAAAATGAGGGATAGTGACTGGCAATGTTCCTGGTACCATAGAGGTACCATGCTATTAAATGACCACAATAATTTTAAACACACATCAGACCAGAGCAAATGCAACACTTTCCCAGTCTTGTTTTTGGCAGACGCTCCCATCTCCTAAAAGCTATTTCTATACACAGATGGCTATAAAAGAGCTAAGCAGCTGCCATCTTACCAATTGCTCTGCTGTCATTTGGGAGATTTCTACTGTTGGAGAGCTTCCCACTCTTGCACAAACAACAGTGAAACAGAAAAAAGCTAGCAGCAATTTCACAAGTTTGTAACTGTATTGTGACTTCTGTTAGGCAGAGAAACACATACTGACTCCTACTGCCTTCTTGCTGTTAAGCATGAGTTTGATCTTGTGGGTTTTGTATTTGTTCATTTGTTTTCCTTATTTTGATAGCAAAATCAAGATTTAAGTCATCTTATTCATTTCTACTGAAGGCTGATTCTCACCACATGGCTGATTCCCAGGATAAAGCAGACAAAGATCCATGTGGAATAGATTAATTTCCACCAACCATACCAAAAGGATGCTAGAGAGCATGTTACCGAGCTGCTTTTCCATACAACCAGGCTTGAAGTATAACACCCCGTCATTTTTCTGTTATTCCATGTGCTGCCCATTTAGGCACCTCCTTTTCAGTGCATGTCTCTACGGCACTTGACCCAACAAAACTCTAGATCTTTTCCTGGTGCTTGTGCATAGTAACATAATGCTTTGTAATAATGTACAAAGCAACACAACAAAAACTTAGTTTATGTTGTGACCATTTCCCCTGAACAGTTTTTTCCAGACTTCAAGACAGAGGCAGATGGCAGATGATTTTGGACATAAAAAGGGAATAGCTTTTCTGAAAGCCAGTGAGAACATAAGCAGAAAAAAAGCTGGACTGTTTAAGCAGGGCCTGCCTTCTAGTCATATCTCTTAAGACTATTTCCATATCCCCAGATCACTTACTGAACAGCTTTGTCTCATTTTCCTCATGGATTATACTCAGGTATGTCCCAATACCATTTCATGAATACTGAAATCTTTACTGTCCTTCTTTGTCATACCTGCCAGAGGTCAAATGGCTCAACTCCTTCAGAAAAATAATCGTTTCATCTTCCCTAGCATTGAAAGACACTGTGTTGACTGGACAGGAGCCATCTGAAACCTTCTCGAGGAGTAGCTGCTTTGCGTCCACTGGAACATCCCCCACAGCAAAGTAATAAACAGCTTCAACCTGTCATTAAACAGAAAAAAAAGGTAATTGGAAGACATTGTTTTACATAAATTTCTGATACTTACTCAAGTGTTGTCCTGTCCTCATTATTGGTAGGAAAATTCAGTAAAACTGATGTATTAATTGAGCTATAAGATTTTCACACCTTTGGTTCTTCCTCTCATTTATGCTAGTAATTCACACAAAATTCCCTCAAGTGAGACAAGAACCTATCCCACAGTCCCTGGGTCCGATTCTGCTCAATGCAAGCCTCTTTCCACAGACATTAACTGAAGCCAAAGAGAGATGTAAGGAAAGACAATTGCATCATTAGTCAGAAAAAGGCTCTGTGCCATATGCCACTTTAATCAAGAGACATGCTATGTGGGTGCCTTGCCAGGGCTGAAAAGTAGGAACTTTATACCAGACATAGTTTTACTGGCAGCATGTATTCTGAGGTTAGGAAAGATGACAATCAAGGGAGGGGATTTTCCCATTCTGCTCTGCACTAGTGCAACCTCACTTTGAATATTGTGTTCAGTTTTGGTCACTGCAATATAAGAAAGACACTAAACTATCGGAGAGCATCCGAGAGAGAGCAACAAAGATGGGTCTTGACAGCAAGCTGTCAAGTATGAGAAGTGTCTGAGGTCACCTGGTCTGTTCAGCCTGAAGAAAAGGAAACTGAAGGGAGACCTCATGGTAGTCTACAACTTCCTCATGAGGGGAAGAGGAGGAATAGCCACTGATTTCTTCTTCATGGTGACCAGTGAGGGAATGGCATGAAGCTGTGTGAGAGAAGGTTGAGGTTGGATATCAAAAAAATTTTTTTACACATAGTGGTACTGTGGGCACTGGAACAGTGGTCACAGCATCAAGCCTGACAGAGTTCAAGAAGCATTTGGACAATACTCTCAACACATGGTATGATTCTTGGGGAAGGTCCTGTGCAGGGCCAGGAGTTGGGTTCAATGATCCTGTAGGATCTTTCCAACCTAGCATATTCTGTGATTCTGTGATTATTTGAATGCTATTGCTGGTATTTACAGATGATTTGTAGTTTTTATACTTCCCAAGGCAGAGAGAGCTTGGCAGTTTTACTATAACCACACACACTTATATTCTGAAAATGTTATTTCAAGAAGCGAGAGAAGCTGAAAAAATGTCTTTTAGTTATTGCTTAAATATTACATTATGAGGGATTTTATGTTACCTGCACCTATCCATGTAATGATCCTCAGGTGAGTATGTTTCATGAATTTTTGCCATCATTAAAAATGAATTTAACAAACAGCTATCCCATGATAACTTTCAAGACAATATATGCAGTATATCAGTTCTATATCATGGTACATACCAGCTGATAAATACCTGATAAAACATTGTTTAACTGAAAAATACATTTGAATACACTCACCTCTGTGCCCACTACGGAGTGGATCATCCTCAAAACTATGCTAAGGCACAGGGGAAATAAGAAGCCAACATGGCTTCACTAAGGGCAAACCACGCCTGACAATTAGGTAACCTTCTTATCTATCTGGACTTCTATCAAGCATTTTACACTGTTCTGCACCACACCCTTGTCTCTAAATTGAAGAAACATGGATTTGGTGGATGGAACACTCTGTGGATAAGGAACTGATTCAATGTTGCTTTCCAAGAGTCAGAGCGAATAGCTTGACATCCAAGTGGAACATCCATGGTGCTCCTGAGGGGTCAGTAAGGGGACTGGCACTTTTTAACATCTCTGTTGGTGACAAGGGCAGTGGGACTGACTGTACCTTCAGTAAGTTTGCCAACACCACTGTGTTGGCACAAGCTGTATGGTGTCTGTTGCCCTGGAAGGAAGGGATGCCATCCAGAGGGACCTGGATGACCTTGCGACAGGAATGAAGTGAACCTCATGAAGTACAAGGCCAAGTGCAAGGTCCTGCTTCTGGGTAAGGGCAATCCCAAGTTCAAGCACAGGCTGGGTTGAGAATGGATTGACAGTAGCTGTACAGAGGACTTGGGGGTATCGGTTGATGAGAAGTTCAACATTACCCAGAAATATGCGCTTGCATCCCAGAAATCCAACTGTATCCAAAGCTGCATCAAAATCAGCATGGCCAGCAAGGCAAGGAATGTGTGTCTACCTCTCTACTCCACACCCATGAAACCTTTCCTGGAGCATTGTGTCCAGCTCTGGGACCCTCAACATAAGAAGGCATGTATTTGCTGGAGCAAGTCCAGAGGAGAGCCACAAAGATGATCACAAGGCTGGAGTGCCTTTCCTATGAAGACAGACTGAGATAGTTGGGGCTGTTCAGCCAGAGAAGAAAAGGTCTGGGTAGACCTTATAGCACCTCCCAGGACCTGAAGGGGCCTGCATGAAAGCTGGAGAGGGATTTTTCACAAGGACAAGGGAGAATGGCCTTAAACTGAAGGATGGTAGATTTAGATTAGATGCAAGGAAGAAATTCTTCACTATGAAGGTGTAAGGCACCAGGAACAATTGTCCAGAGACATTAGGAATGCCCTATCCCAGGAAGTGTTCAAGACCAGATTAAATGTGGCTTTGAGCTACCTGATCTAGTAAAAGGTATCCATGCCCATGACAGTGATGTTGGAATTAAGCAGTGTTTAAGGTCCCTTCCAACCCAAACCATTCTTTGACACTATGATTCTATTAATATTAATATGAATATTCTATATGCTATAAATCCCAGGATGCGCGCCACAACAGAGAACTATTTGAGTCTGGGATGGCACTGAAGAAATGTCTCTGCACTCACATAATTTTATGTAGTAAAGTAACGCAGTATGCAAATTCAATATCACCTACAGTAGTAAAGCAAATTCAGTATCACCTACAGTAGTAAAGCAAATTCAGTATCACCTACAAGCGTGCTCATACATTTCCACTATTGCCTTGGATACTGATTTGTATTCCAGCTCCCTGAATAATTTCTGCATTTCAAGCATCCTCCCTCATGGACCTTTTGGTACCTTCCTCAACACTGGAAGATGTCTCTCTCAAGGAGCAACCCAGTTTCAGCCTGGATCAGGCAAACTAACAAAGCAGGACCTTGCCATCTTGAACTTCTCTTGGATCTTGCAGAGGAGTGAGATGCTCCATGTGGAAGGCAGGGGCCATAGTTACAGACTCCACTTATTTGGGAACAAGCAGGACCAGGTATCCTAGCATCACTGATAATTCTAGACAAATACTAAAGGTAAAGAGATAATGAATGGATTTTATTATACAAGATTAACAAAATACTTATTAGCTTTAGAAAAAGGTATACAGAAAGAAAAAATGAACTCTTGCACCTTTCTGTGTTTTAGTTCAGTTTTACAAAGTTTCCTGTCTGCCTTCTCCAGCTAAAAAGCTATCTGAGCCTGCACACAGGTCTCCCAGATGAGACCCAGTCCTTGGACAACACCATGTTCCTACTGCTTTTGTTGAAGAGGCTCCTGGCCCAGAGGTATGCGTGCATACTTGCACAACCATTTTTCCCTGTCTTCCTTCAGATTCACATCTTCTCTCCCTCCCCTCTAAGACTGCAATTAATTCATAAATTTGATATTCAACAAGAATAGAAATTTTCACACTTTTTTCAAGGGATTCACTGCCTGCCTCTGCAACTTTCAAAATGCTGACATTTATTGGGCATAGCTGAAACAGAACCAAGCCCCCACAAGAAAATTTTAAAAAATTATGAATCACAGATAATTTACTCTATTTAACTACAATCTCAGCAATGACGTACCACAAAGGAAATGTTCCTCATAGGCTAGTGGGGAAAGGTTAAAACCTTTCAAGTGAGTCCTTCATATTTTGAAAAGTGTAATTTATACATTTAAACAAGCAAACAAACTTCATATAAGGACAGAAAGGAGAACAGCATGAACATTCTTCTCAGTCTTGATCTTGGTGGGGAGGTGTTTTGGATAAGTGATCCACACTTCATGGAGTGGCACCTGTACAGAACAGGAGGCTAGACACTGTGGATGCATTTGTGGCAGGTAGAGCTCAAAGGATTGCAACATTAAAACAGACCAATCTTGAGCTTGGGATTTACAGGCCATAAGGAAAGAAAATCAAAGGAATCACCACATATGGGAAGAAAAGACCAGCTGAAGGAATGACAAGAAGAGCCATGTCTAGGGAAAAAAAAAAAAAAAAACCACAAAAAAAAATCACCAAAAAAAACCACCAAACAAAAACAACAAAAAAACCTGTTGTTTTGGAGCAACTTCTGTGGACGAAGCCAGTTCTTGGGAATGACATATTCATGGTTGCTCAATAAGTAAGCAAGTTTTCTCTAGGACTGAATGGAGAAACCCCATCTGCACTACAGTGAACATGCCTCTTAAGTGAACTGTCAGTTATGAATTATAATGACTCTGTTTAGGTGCAATTGAAGTTTGTTTTATGTTGAGCACCTGCCACAGTTGACTCCCCTAGATTGCCTATTGGCCCACCAATATCTTAAAAAATAATAATACAAGTTTTATTGTCTGACAGATTTAAATTTCTGTTTATTCAGAGACCCACCATGTCCAACAAGACTTTTTTCATCCAGACAATACCAAAATCTAAGTACAATTCTTTAGTTACTCATCAGGAAATAAGTCTTAATACTGCAAATTGAAAATTCTAATTATGAATAATAAAATTATGAAGGGGTCATTTAAAAAATTTCACTGGTGGACAATTTGCTCCTTAGCTCATTTTTAATATTAGTTTCCATACATCAAGGCTTATCTGGATGGGAATCCAGAAGCGTAGGGAACCAAAAGGTAACTCAAGCAAAATTTATCTTCTCCCTCAAACAATGTTCCAGAAAGAGATTTACATGAGTTAGGATTGAATCTGTGCACAGGGATGAATGTTAATAGCAGTGAAAACCAATGACTCTACCCCACAGACAGTAGGCCAAATTTTCCATTAAATTCAGGTGTTAGAGAACTGAAAGAATACAGATTGTAAATAAATGTCATAAAATATCTCTAGAAAAACAAAAGTTTTAAGTTACTAGCTCAAGTGATGGCATATATGTTTCATTTCTTGTGACTCTATTTTAATGAATAAAGCAATAGAGTACTTTTAAAAATGAACAGCATTTAACTGCAGGAATAACTGTGCATGCTTTGTCTCTGTCCTGGCAGAAAGTCTAGCTTACACCTGGCTGATGAAAAAGGATTTGCGTAGCCCTATCATAAGCTAAAACTGCCATAAATCTTCGTACTCACTATTTTGAATTTTAAATATAACTTTTCATAAGAAAGTTGGATACATAACAAAATAAAAATTGTTTCTCTGCCCTCAATAATGTTGCTATTTTCTCATAAACCTGAAGCCCTGAAAAACTTATATGACAAAGAAAGTGTAAGGGAAGATGTTTTCTCTTTCCCCTAATGACTGAATATTATTTATTCTGAGTACTCTAGAAAAGAAAATAAACAAATTTCTGCATTCAAAATACAGTACATTTACATAAAAAGACAATAATTAAGCATAGTATGCAGCTACACTTGAAGGGGAAAAAATCCTTTCCAAATTCAGTCATGAATATTTATCTTTGCAACATTGATCAGGGCAAATCACAGCAGCCAGCCTAGCAGTGAACACTCTTGGATTTACTTGGGCTTCTGAAAAGATGTATGAGCTTACCGCTTCATCACCCATGGCTTCCAGCAGAGCCTCAGCAGAGCTGGTGTGGCTGACAGCTGTCATATGGTCCAGCTTCCAGAGCCACGTAACTGCAGACTTTACAGTATGCGCAGACACACGAGTACATTTCTGTTGCCACTTCATAAGATCCTGAGCAGCCCTGAAAATGAGATTAACTATAAATCAGAAATAGGGAGAATCATGCTGGCAGAACAAGAGACTGGAGCTATGCTATTGTTACAATTCTTTTATATTCTTAAATAAGAATTACATTATACCACAGATACTAAATCTAAACTTGCAATAAAGGAAGCAGAGAAAAAATTAAACCATTTACTGTAATTTTATAAAGTTGTTTTTTTTTTGAGACAACTGTTTCCAAAGTAAGATCATGAGAGAGAAAATATTTTTAAAAAGAGTTCCTGATTCATAACTCTTCTTATAAAAACTCAATCAGGTTTTTAAAATATATGCATGCAAAAGAAAAGTGTATTCCACAGGTCTTGTTCCACAACTTGCTCCATGATCTTGGTGTCAGAGCAGTCTAACTGACACTTTTTTTTTGTAGTACAGCTGACCTTTAGCTAGCCATCCAAAATAAAATCTGTGATGCTAGGCTTTTCGGTTATTTCAATTGATAAACGGCAGTAGTCTTAATGGAAGAACAGAAGTACAAAGCCAATCAGCACTTTTGCCTGTGCACATGTATATAAAAAGGCAGAAAGGAACTATAAAACCAACTGGTTCCAGTATTTGTGACATTCCATCAAGAACTATTTTGAAGAGTTTCCTGCAAATCTAAAAGACAAATATTTTTCCCAAAATTCTTTTAAAGTAGTAATTTATATGCTATATTGTCTTTTGTTTCCCTCCTGCAAAAACAAACACATTGATGAACATAATTATTGTTTCAATCTTGACTTGGCTTTGCAGTTCATTTTTAAAGAAAAAAGTTCTCTGTTCTCAAAAACTATGGAAGCTATCTGCTTTGGAAAGTATCTTCTTTGGAAAATATCTACTTTTGCAACAGGTTGCCCTGAGAAACTGTGAATTCCCCATCCCTTGAAGTGTTCAAAGCCAGGCTGGATGGGGCTTTGAGAAACCTGGTCTAGTGGAAGATGTCCCTGCTCATGGCAGGAGGTTGGAACTAGATGGTCTATAGTGTCCCTTTCAACCCAAAACATTCTGTGATTTTATTATTCTCCTTTCCAAATCTCAGTGCTATCACAATCTAGAGAATTAAGATAGAGCATCTAAATCAAATCTATAAGACAATGCCTGGGTAAAACAACATGAAGGATCACCATGTAATTGCAAGTTAACACTGTGGAGCCAATTTTAAAATTGTATTACCTAATTTGTGCATCATATTTTTCCACTCATCTATCCAAACCCAAGTTTATGCATTCAAACTCTCATGCATGTACGAGAATTTTTGCAGCTAGGTGAAATTTGAATAGCTGCTTCTATTCTTCTAATTTAATGCAAATTAATTTATTCCTCTTAGGGAACAAACGCTTGGAAATCTTCTTTTGTTATGGAAATCTACTATTGTTTCCTAGTGCTGCTACTGATTTCCGTGACCATGGAAATCTACAGAAATACAAATGGCTATGCCTGTGCCTATGGCACTTGGGGGAGTGCACATTTAGCTGCAAGGCAGAAACCTGTAATATTTAAAGACACAAGAATGCAATAGGTAGTCAGATAGAACTTCACTGTTTTACTAATACTGCAACATCTGAAGGGCATTACTGCTGTTGCAAATCCTTCTGAATTTGTAGATGTGTCAGTATTTGTGTTCTGTTACCCTTTACTTGCTCTTCAGGGTAACAGTGGCTTTCTGTTACACAGAAGTGGCAAAATAAGCATGGCTATATTGCCAGAAAAATTATGTGGGAAATCTGTGTGGGAATCCATGTGGGAAATCTACAGATATTAGCATGACATGAACCACGACAATTTCCAGTACAGAAAGCACCTTATCCAAACATGTACAACATGCAACTCCTTTTTATTCTCCAGCAATGGGCCAACATGGACTTTTCTGTCCAGCCTGGGGAGACCTGATAGTGGCCTTTCAGTACTTGAAGAGACTTAGAAGAAAAATGGGGAGAGTCTATTTAGTAGGACCTGTAGCAATATGACAAGGAGTGATGGTTTTAAACCAAAAGAACCTATATTCAGACTAGACAAATTTTTTTACAATGAGGCACTGAAACACATGAACAGGTTGCCCCGAGAGGTGGGAGATGCCTCATCCTTGGAAACATTCAAGGTCAGGCTGGATGTGGCTTTGAGCAACTCGGTGTAGTGGAAGGCATCCCTGCCCATTTGCAGGGGTGTTGGATGAAATCACCTTTGAAAGTGCTTTCCATCCCAAACTATTCTATGATTCTGATTCTGCTTACCGAATGAGGTTGAATCTGGAAATTTGTATCACCTGTTCCACAAGCACCATAGAAAGTGCATCCCGACACAGATCAAATTCAGTTGGAGCTGCAGTGCCAAAATCCAACACAATGACAATGCAGTGTTCTTGAATCACTCCAAATATCTGCCGGCTCTCACTGGTTAACCATTCCATTCGCTGCTTATATAGCTCAATAGCTCCAATTAGACAATCCACAAAATGAAGAATCAGTTCTTTTTTTGCTGTCAGCTTTATTCAAATAAGGGAGAGAAGGAAATTGAACATCAAAACAAAAATTCAAATGCAGCCCCAAGCTTAGCACAGCTGCATAGCTAGTTTGTAAGTGTCAGTTATGCCAGCTAAGGTAGCAGTGAAAACAACCCATTTTCCCTCCACTATTTCAAGAGAAAATACTTGACAAATGCATCTAAGCTATAAAGAAAAGGCACTGCATTTTGTCCTAATTGCTTTTCATAATCTTTTTATGTGAGCATGGGACAGTGCCAGTGGGTTGTCTGACTTGTCTGTCTCAAAACTGGAGCAATTAGAATGAGCTAAACACAGGCTAGGATGTAGAAAGGGCTGCAGAGCAGATGGGTGAACAAACAAGGACACAAAAACTTTGTACCTTCTCAGACTAGAACTTTGATTTTTTAAAAAAAATTTTACAGCAATACAAGGCGGCATATGGTTTGGTTCTAGGGCACTTCAATCTCCATCTTGTCTTTAGCATTTGAAAGGAAAACGTTAAATGTTTCTTGTATTATTATTCAACTAACAATGCCCAGCATTACAGATTAACTATTTGCTGGTAGGTGCTTAGGCAAATTTAGTTCAGATACCTGCAATCAACAACTAAAACCCCCCCGTATCTTTTCAGTAAAGTCAAGTCTAGATTCAATACTAAAATTAAAACCAGCACATCCTCCCTATGAATAAGTGTATACACATTCACCATGGCCTGTGGGTCTAAAAATGCACCACAGATTTCCCCAATTATCTGTGGCCCAAGTGAGCTGATTTAGTTGTTGCCTTCTACCCCTAATTTCCTTTCCAGGACTAAGTGCAAAACCTTGGAAATACAAATGCTTTTAAACAAGAACATTTCTCAGGGAGAAGATATTTTGTGTGTCAGTCTGCACACTTCTCCCTCTCATTTGTATTTTTCTGTGTTCTTTAATATCAGCTTGGGCCCTGTAATGTGCCTCCCAGATACAGAGTCTCAGGCAATCTGCCAAAGGAGTGTCAGCCTGGGAAGGAGCCCTTAGAAATCCAGTTTCCTCCTATGACAGTCAAATTCATACAAAGAAGTTTATTGCATTACATCGACCCAACTTAAAATAAAGCAGTTTTCTTAGAATACTCCCTCACATGTAGTAAGCAAGTGCAGATTTCCATTTCTCTGAGGGCCAGGAAACCTCTGACTGTCCAGCCTAATTTTATTCATTCATACCCATTTATTTTTGGGCTATCATGACTTTTAGCAGAGAAAACTATAGCTTCTCTCTATCCCTGTAATTTGCCTTTCTGTAGCATTCAAAGGCAATAATACTACCCTTCTTCTGTCTTCTTTCAGGCTTACATTTCAGCATCAACCAAGCCCTCTTATAAGATCATCACTCCACTGCAGTTCATCCTACCAGCTCTTCTCAGTACCTACTCTGGTTTGAATGGCTTCCTCTAAGCCTGTAGTAATTCTATACAATATTGTACTCAATATCCTAACAGAGATCTGACCAGATTTTATATAGCAGCAAAAATGCCTTTCCTGCTGCTCACAACATGTCCTAAGATTAAAAGACATTATGTAGATGTTTCATACTGAATTGATGGGAATAAAACGAGGGGGAAAGGCTCCCTGAAATGGTTCTTTACCCATTTTTAAGCATCAGAAGTGATGCCATCAGAAGTGATTCTAGTAATCAGAAAAAATGACAAGCCATTTGCTTTTGTAAAATCTTTTATAAATTAACTCTCTCCCTTCCACACTCACATGCGCATCTCTTCAATCAGAATCCATCCTCTTAACAATGGGGTTGCCAGCAGCTGTTGCTAAGACATTCCTTAGAACATGAGCCTGGGCAGAGATCCAGCTAGCTGCCACTGTAGAATAGGCTGAGGCTTTTGTGACCTGCTGGCACTAAGCAAAGCACTGCTTTGCATTGGCAATGACAGCACATTATGTCTCCTTATTTCAGCATCCCCATTTGTTTTATTGATTACAATTTTTTTTTTTAAACTGGTTCTGAGCATCTTCTCTCTAAGGGTTCCCTCTTTCAAGACAGGGTGGATGTTGCTTAGAAACTGCAATCATGTCTGGAGAAGATTTACTGTAATGCTGCACCAAGGCAAGAGACTAAGATTTAGAAAGGGAAAAAGATATCTAACTTTTCTACCACTGATAATTATCACTAACAATTCTGTTTGACAAAATAGAAGAAAAAAATTATCAAAATATAAAGATCTCACAAAGAATAAATGTACTTTTTATCACAGGAAAGCATTTCAGTCTCATCATTCTGCTACAGTGATAACTTCTAAGTGCATAGGGAAGGTATCACAAGTCAGCCACACTTACATTATACACGCTGCCATCCTGTGCTCTCTTGTATTGAGGAAACAGACCATCTGCATATCGAGAAGCCACAGGTTTCCCCAAGGTGGTCACATAATCTACAGTAAAATTTACAAAATATCAAGTTGCTAATCTTCAGGACTACTTCAAACAGGTATTTTTAAAGCTGATGTGTATGCCATCCATGTGTGAGGCACATGCATCAGTACTGAGCTCTTGACATTAAGAAACTTGAGAGAAATTCTAATTCTGTTTTTGTTTTATTTTCTGGTTATATCTATGATGGGGGCCTGAGGCTTTCAACCTCTGGCTGCACCTCCTGTTGTCCTTGGCTGCATTCCCTGGCTGGACCCTAGACATGGTTAATTACCTCGCCCTCCTGCAGGACTGTATCCTGTTCAGTAAGGGCACTGCCTGGGCTGCAGTCCCTTTTGGCTCCTGGTTCATCTTCCTCCCATAAAACACCAGTGTTTTTGCTGCTTCCTCCCAGTTTAGTCAGAAGTGAGGAAAAAACCCACATCTAATTACTTATAGGCCAAAAAGCTTCACAGGATTTTAATTATTGTGAGATTTGGGCAATCTCACAACAGGACTTGCAAATATTTGTCTGTCAAACCAAATACAAAATCTGGTACAGATAATGCTGTTCTCTTACACAACTTAATGGGTGCAGAAGTCAGTGCATCTAAGGAAAAGGCTGCACTCTGCACTTTTCAGTAGCTAGAAATCTTCTCCAGAATCTCCACTGATAGGAAAACATTAGGGGTGGGAATAGTTAGCGTCATAAAGCAGTTATCTGTACACCATGCTGCCCTGTCAAGCTAGTACATTCTGCTCCTAACACTGTAACAATTTTAACCCTGCTTAACAGCTTCCTCTTCATCTGCAGAATACATGGTATCAGGAACTGCACTGGCGATCTTTGAATGCCTCATGGATACAAGCCAGCCAAAACCTTAAATTATGCAACCTAGAACTATGGCAATACATTACAATTCCAGCTTCTTAGGCAGCAAGCTGTTCAAAGAAAAGAATATATTACCATGCTCTGCAAAGCACCATTATGGCAGTGGTTAATAATTATTAGCAAACTCTTTCCCTCCAGCTGTCAGATAACTGCAAAGGAACATTTTTCTATAGTCTAACTTTGCATGAAAAGCAGACTGAATTTTAATTAAATTTAACTTTTTTCCTTAAGGCTGGATACCCAGAAATAATATCCTATTCCCAAGCACATTTTCTAACCCTGATGATCAATAGTAGACCACAGATTATGGCATTGCATACATTATGTCTGCCATCTGAAAGGAGACTGAGATCTTATCATGTGTTATTTGCAAGAAAAAGATTAACAGTCTCAGCAGCACCAATTATTTCCAAGCTACAGCTATATTGGTGAGGATGAGATCTGCAGCCTAGGGTAAAGAAACAGTACAGTTGAGTAAGGAAAGCCATTCTCAGACCCTAAGTCCTTCTCATATCAAAAGGAAGAATTTCTCAGTTCTTTGAAGTGGCAATGTCAGCAATTGTGGACACAACTTCCATTTCTGCCATTATCATAAGAGACAATGTGAAAATCTCCACTGTATACACTGGCATGCAGAATGAGTGTGGTTCTCCAGACTATCAAAAATTGGGGGATTTATAATCCTATTATTGATTTGTCTTATACCTTTCCTGTGCTGGAATCCAATCTGGGACAAAATCTGGGACAGAGACAATTTGTTTCTTTTGAGACCATAACACTGAAGCCATTTAGAAGAAGAAACAAGGGACTGTACGTCTGTTCTCCACTGACCAACTGCTAGTCTCCTTTTCTTCTCTTTGGATTTTTTCTTGTGGACCTTGTGGGAATCTTCAGTATCTTGTCTGTGCTTTGAATCAAAACCTGCTGTAAAGAAAAATGAGGGAAACACTACATTTATATTTTAACCAAACAATTTCAAAACCAAATGAGATTAATTTCTCCTTTCTTTACCTGTATTCCATGGTCATGTATGTATGTATAGCTCACCTCTTGTTTTCTTTTTTTTTATACTGAATAATGTCCTTAATCTGTAAAGCTGCTCTCAGTCCTACACATCCACTCGCTGTTAGATCTTTCTATTCATCCACATACCTTCACTTTCAATTTATTAAAGTAAATGTCTCTTGTATGTTGAAATTCAAGCCCTGAAATATAAGTCCAGTTTGCCAAATGGCACTTCTTCCAACTCCTAAGACATCTGTCCTAAGTCTTGGAAATCAGAACACACAATAGGCATTCAAAGATTGTCAGACCATCACTGCATACACATTAGAAGCATTATGCAATAAACAAGTATTTCCTAAAAATTTTATGTTGAACTCCCATAAGCAATAGTATTGTCCCCAGAAGAACCTGACTTTATTGCAAGGCTGGTGACATTCCCTCAGGTCACATCATTTGCCTCAAGTTTAAATGATTGTTCTGTCAGTTTCCTGCTCTGGGCTGTGATGGGTCATGTGCATGCATGCCTGAAGGTCCCGGCTCCTTTTAACTTCTACAGGACATGGAACACACCTGAGCACAGCAGTATGGTTTGTTAGGCTAGCTCTACTTGCATTTGGCAGCAGCAGCAGCTCAGACCCAGAGTGCTGAGGCAGAAATGGAAGCAATGACAAACAATAATGCCTCTGTTCTTCAGCATAGAGGTTCTAGGAGGACTTTGGTATTTCCTATTCATTCCCAAAATACTCTGCATGAGCTAAGCTGGCTTTAGTTGATTAAATACCCTTGCTGTATCTAAGTTTACCTTCTGTGGACTTTGGAAATCCCTTTACATTTCCCCAGTACCAACATCATGTGCTGTGTCCCAGTCCTTCATTGCCCATATACTGTAAACTGCCTGTAAATGTACTACATATATCAAACCGGCCCAAAATACAAAGAAAGGTACTTCTGTCTCTAATGCCTCCAAAATAACCTTCAGCCTAATATGGAATATATCAGAACTCCCTGCTAAATTCAAGTATTGTAACAACCAACCCAGTTCCAAAGGTTCATCAGATAGACAGTTCCACATTTACCACTACATAAAGGAAATGAGACTCTTATCTTCAGAAATCATCTTTCAGTGACAGAGGGCTTCTATAAAGTGTGGACTGGCACGAGTTCTTTCACAGCCACCAGTCCTACCAGCAGGACGATGGGCTGGCATGACTGTAGAGGCTGGCATTTTACCAGCCCTCCTTTGCTATGTGCAGAAGCAGCAATGACAGATGTTAACTCTAGAGAGAGGCAGGTGTAGGTTTGCAGCTGCTCGAGCTTTGAATACAGTCAGGCATTGTTTATAGTCACTTGAACAGTCATTCCCAGATTCTTTCCCCAAAAATACATAATGGCCAGCACAGCACCCCATACGCAACCCAGGTAAGTGTGGCACAGCTTCAGAATGGCTTGTATACAGCCAGCATGCACACCACAGTGTTCCAAAGGAAATTGGAAGTTTTCTAGGAGAACATGGAATCTATGCAAAAATAGTGATTAAATACTCACAGTCACTCCAGGCAAGTCTCTTAGACGGATTAGCAGTCATGACAGATCTCTTGACTGGAAGCTCCTCTTTGCTTTATTCTTAAACCTTGAGGAATCATTGTTTTAAAAAATTAAAATATTGCCATGTACAGGTCAATATGAACTGGAGACCAGTTCCACATACCCAGCCAATAATAAACTGAAGAATGATGAGATCATGGTTTTCCGCAAGCAAAAAAAATAACATAAAAATGATAGCTACTCCCCATCTCAAGAAAGGCTGAAGTCAGATCTGACAGGGATCCACAAGCTCAAAAGTGGGAAATCGGGAAATTTGTAATATTGTTTCCTTTCCTTCACCCCAAATCGTCATTAAAAAGAGCCAATATGCTAGAAAAAATGAGCAAGGTGTTTTGGCATACTGTCAGCCAGCTGTATAATATTCTATTATTGCTTTGCAGTATACCTTACTTTTGCTATAATTCAACTTATGACTAAACCTGGGAGTATCTGAGATGCAATTTTGTGCAGAGATTCATAACTTTGCCTATAAAACTACAAGATGAGTCACAAAGAAAAGAATTATGTGTGTGAACTTGGTATAGACAAGTTCAAGTGTGAATAAGACACAGCAGAGGAACAGAAGACAAAATGCTAGACAAAGCAAGGTAGTATACAGTGGCTGAGTGTATTGCTTTGAGACATCAGTGCTTTGGTTTTTCTTTTAGTAAGTACGATGAATGAATGAGAGATACTTATGAATCACTAGCAGGCCAGCTGTTAGTCGTTGTCATTAAGCAGGTTTTCCCACAATAAAGAAAAAAAAGGATAAACTATTTAACCCAAAGACATAGCCTTCTCCCTCTTTCATTACTGCAGAATGGAACACGCTATTTATTCCTCTTATATGGGTTTAAATACCCATATGGAAACATACAAACCATTCCAATCTTTGTCCTGCTCATGAAGAAAGACATGAACAGTGTGAAGGGCAGGGAAAACTTTAAAAAAGCAGGACCCTGCACCTTAACACTCGAGGTGTTTTGCAGCACAACCCTTGACTAGCGTTGGCATCAGGGCATTAAGAAGCCCTTGCCACAGGGGAGCTGTGGCAGACAATGCCTATAGTGAAACGACACAGCAAGCCACAAGGCTGGTGCCATTTTTCTTTCTACAGAAAAAGTGCTCTCATGGTAATAGCTAAGACAAATTTTAGCATGCATCAGAGATTGAATCCCAGGTGCTGTCTCATTTTCCAGATGCCCAGAGGTATGGCAACAGATTTTCCCTTGCCTTAGTCTCCGGCACCACCCTCAGTTCCTAATGAACACCTGGACATGAAATGCTAGGTCTGTATGAAAGGAGCATTTGAAAGCAGATGAAGCAATTTCCAATGGAAACACCGAGTTTTACCTTAAGTCTTGGAAACAGTGAGCTCAAAACCAATGGTTGCTGGGGTAACCTTCCGCCCAAGATCTGAATCCAAACAGGTTATTTTCAAAAGGTGAACCAGAGTTCATCTGGGCACCTCTACCCTTTCTGCTCTGGCCAGTGCAAACAAACTGCTAAAGCTGTAACCCACCACTGGCTCAGAGTGTGACATGTGTGGGTGGCAATGTTTGCTGAGGCCATTCCACTGGGCTGCTCCTGACAGGCGGGAATGCCTTGGGAAAGCCCACACACCTTACATCCCAAGAAGCTGCCCCACACCACCTGAAGTGCCAAAACCCAGATAAAAGGAGTGCAGGGAGCTGAGGCTGGTGGCTGCCCACTGAGGAAATGGAATCATGGCATCACAGAATAGGTCAGGTCAGCAAAAAACACAGTGGGTCATCTGGTCATATTTCTGCTCAAGCAGGGTTACCCTAGAGCACAAGGCACAGGATTGTGTCGAGGATGCTCTTGAATATCTCCAAGGAGGGAGACTCGACAACCTTTCTGGACATTCTGTTCTAGTGCTCAGTCACGACCATAGTAAAGTTCTTCTTATTCAGGTGGAACTTCCCGTGCATCGGTATCTGCCCTATGCCTCCTGTCCTAGTGATTGGCACCACTGAGAAGAACCTGGCACACACCATCCCCCACCTTCCCCCCTTTAGATAACTATACACTGATGGGGTCCCTTTTCAAGCAGGGCAGAGGTGTCATAGCCAAGCCACAGCAGGGCCTGAGGAAGAGGGGAAGAGCGGGACAAGGGCCAGGGTGAGTCCCGGCCACGTCGCTCACCGGCGCTGCGGCCACCTGAGACAACAGGCCGCGTCCCCGTAAACACTGCACGGCAACGGGCGAGGAAGGGAAGCCGGGGCCTCCGGGGTGATGGACCGCGGCTTAGCGCAGGCCCTGCGCCAGCGCCGGGACCCGGCTGCCGCTGCCCTGCGGCGGGACCGGAACCGCCGCCTGAGCCGCCTCCTCTCCTCCCCAGCGCGGCGGCGCCCGCCCGGCCGCCCTCACCTGCCTCCAGCCCCGGCCTCACCGCCGCCTGCCCGGCCGCGCTCGATGCCGCTGTGAGCCCGGACACCGCCCGGTTGCTACGGCACGGCACGGCCCGGCCTCACCCCCGCGGGAGGGACGGCGCGAGGGCCGAGCCGCCCGAGGGCCGGCGGCACCGGCACCGGCACCGGCACCGGCACCGGCACGGGCACCGGCACGGGCACCGGCACGGGCACGGGCACCAGTACGGGCACGGGCACCGGCACCGGCACGGGCACCGGCACGGGCACGGGCACGGGCACGGGCACGGGCACGGGCACCAGTACGGGCACGGGCACCGGCACGGGCACCGGCACGGGCACCGGCACCGGCACGGGCACCGGCACGGGCGGCTCGGGGACCACTGCCCCTGCCACTGTCCCTGCCCCTGCCCCCACCCTGCCCCTTCCCCTGCCGCTGCTGCCGCGGCGAGACCGATGCGGAATAAATTCATCCTCAACAGGCGCCTGCACAACGCCGTGCATTCATTCCTTGGGGAGCCAGAAATACACAGGCCAATTTGGGGAGTTACAGAAATCTATATATAGAGCATTCGAGCCTTCTGGTCTCGTTAATTCTTAATTTAGGCTAAGCCGTTGACAATATTTATAACAAGAGCAGCCACGCGTATCCTTTCTTTAAGTCAGAGGAACCGTATACAGTGGCTGGGGAGTTGCTGTGCTCTCACAATCACAGAATCAGTCAAGTTGGAAGGGACCACAGTGGGTCATGTGGTCCAACCTCCTCAAGCAAGGTCAGCACATTGCAGGGGATTGTGTCCAGATGGTTCTTGAGTATCTCCAGTGAGAGAGACTCCACAACCTTTCTGGACAATCTATTCCAGTGCTTGGTCACCCCTACAGTAAAGAAGTTCTTCCTCATATTCAGGTAGAACTTCCTGTGCATCAGTTTCTAGCCCTTGTCTTGTGTCCTGGTGATTGGCACCACTGAGAAGAGCCTGGCTCCCTCCTCTTGGCATTCCCCCTTTAGATAATTATATGCACTAATGAGGTCCCCTTTCAGTCATCTCTTTTCAAGGCTGAACAGGCCTATCTCCTTCACCCTTCTCCTGGAAAAACCAAAATAAAAACTATTTTAAAATATGTGCACCATAAACCTGAAGTTGGTATTAAAAAGTTACTGTTGATGTAAGAAACCCAGAATCCCAGATATGTATTTGCAGTATTTGGTCTGTAAATGTTTGTTAGTTCAGTTTCCAGCTGAGAGACAGATAGGGCTGAGATTTACACGTTACCTGATTTGCTCTCATTTACTGTGCAATCACAGAGTAATAAAAGATCTGTCACTTTATAGAACCAATGGATCAGCCTTACCTATGTATTGATGTTCAGATGGAAACACGCATCCACAGGCCATCCTGCAGCATGCCAAATTGGCTTCAACTCGCCGGGATTGGTAAACAGTGACAGGCAAGAGAAGTTCCTTATAAGGCATGCAGTTGGGATGGGAACTTGACTTTCTGGAGCTCCAGTTTCTCATACCAAGAGTTTAAAGACTAGCCTAGGCATGGCAAATGATTTGGGCTTGCACAACTCTTCCCCTGAGGTATAGAAAAGGCATTTATTTCTCAGACATGGAACAGTTTCCCATCATATCATTAAAAATAGTAGAACTGTATGTTCTCAGGATCCTTTCAGACACCATGGCTGCCATAGCAGAAGCATCTGTAGAGACACATATTTTTGGGGGAAGGCTTAAAAAATTTCTCTTGAAAGTGTAAGTGCAATGGATTTGTAAGTAGATGCCCAAAAATCAAGCTAGTCATTCTCTTGATTTGTTATGCTGCTTCCAGCAAATTTTTTAAGCATCACTCAATATTCCTCACTCAGGTAGTTTTTTATGCACTATACAGAAAAGCTCCATCCATTGTCATGCATAAATGTCTGTAAATGTAGTAATTAACGAGTTTTTTTAAAAGCGATTATATGTGCTGAAACTTTCCCTGCATAGAGTGTGCCAGAAACCTTCACTTGAGGCTTGGCTGCACTAAACAAAATATGTTGCAAGAAAACATTCCTTAGAATGCTTTGAACTGCAGGGCTTATAGAACTGCCTGACAAGCCCAGGGGCAAAGGCTGACAAATGCAAAGTTACTTCTGGCTCCCACGGGCTTTGTAATCAACTGGCTGTTGTATCTTAGGTGAAGTTCTTAGGAAAATAAAATGCTCTCCGCATATCTCATAAACATTGTTCATGTAGAAGCCCTGACTTGGCCATTGCCAGCTCTGTAACTTATGAAAATGAAGAATGTATTCTCCAGATGCTGCCTGCTCAATGAGGCAAGGCTGAATAATAAAGGAGGTGGGGGATCCAAGTAACTTGGAAGTGGGAATTGACTTCTTGTCAATTGAGATGATAAAATTAAATCTGGAGCCATTCTGTCATCTGACCTTTAGGAATGACAAAGTGATTTTGATGGGTGGAAACGTTATGATGTCATTGTAACATGCATCCTGAGATTGCATGAGCAAGCATGACTTCGTTCTGACTCGAGTACTTCACCTATCAGTAAATATATTTGATCACTTTTTCTTATGGATAAAAATCAGCATTCTCAGCATTTTCTCTGTAGTGGTGCTAGAACAGGAAACTGTTGGCTTGTGTTTTATCATGATTCCTTTACAATCAAAATAAAGATATAATCCACTCTTCTTCTGTCTTTCATTAAATAAAAAACCCAACTCTTTAACATAATACATATTTCTTTTAGATAACTAATACCACATTTAGCATAAGCTTGCAAAATTTCTTCATCCATGCAAAGCAGCGTATGTGGTACTTCTAATCTAACTGCTCATGTATTAAGAAAGAGACTTTCATGGTACACAGGATCACTAGGTAAGGATACTCATGGCACTGATGCTTATGGCTATGATAGTACAAAGAATGAAGCTTCACCAGGAAGTTTTATGCTGTCACACATCCTTCCCCAAAGTGTCATGCTTCCTGTTGACTCCCTTTCAAAGAGAAACAGGAATCAGTTGCAAGGGATAAGGAAAAGAACAAAAACAAGCCGGACTGAACCCGAGTTAATGCTGTCCTTACACATTGCTTACAGTGATTCTCTTAAAAAAACCCTGCGTATACCTGAAAACAGATGATCAGCACAGAATATATAAAGCATAAAAATATCATCAAATAAGTAAAATACTCCTTTCAAGTGTATGTGATTCTCACCCCTCAAGAGCCTTCTAAAAAATTTCTAACAAAAAATTCTTCAGATTATTTAAGAACCAGAGGTAAATCAGCCATAGAAGAACTGGCCCTGTCTAAAAAACTATAATAGCTGTAGGACTAAACTGTTAGCCATAGAGTGATAATGAAAAGCTGGGCATCACTTGCAAATGTCTACTGCCCATGTTTAAAAATCTAGTGTCAGGCCTTGAGGAAAGAGAGTTGCATTTCCAACAGAAGCCAGCAACTGGTTGTCCTCACCAGCCCACCCATGTTTTTGAGCTGTGCATGTCTCCTCTACTTAGTCATACACTGCTACTTCCTGAATGTACCAGTGCAATCTTGAAAGAAGCATAGTTGCTGAATATGCATATACCGTTCTTCAGGGTTGTTTTCAAATTTCTTCTTTTTACTTTTTTTTTTTTTTATCTATAATTAACTAGAAGTGTTTACAAACTGGAACTTTTCCATTCCAATGACTTTCTGTCTTCCAGTCACCACACGTAGTATGACCAGGTATTAATGGAAGTGACCTTCTCACTGAAGAAGCAATGCTTCTTGGAACAGTGCATAACAGATCAGTCAAAATTGAAAATTAAAAAATAACGAAAATATTGCAAGGCTCCATGTTATTAAGTTATTAATGTTATTTGTTATTAAGACAGGCACTGCAAATCAAGGTTTACCACTCCCTGGTACCCACCCAGTGTTCATGTCTTCTGGAATGGAGGATGAAAGATACAAATACTGCTGATTCCTTATTGCCTCGGGGTGATATTGCCGTACCTAGATCACATTAATTTATTTTCATGTAGCCTGCTTGCACAAGCTCAAAAGCATGCTAGCAGGCACCAGGCCAGTACTCGAGATACTATACTGAAAGGAGAATGAGGCATTCAGCTCAAAACTCTTGTTCTTCCCCAAGTCCATTGTCAGTGATGTTCTTCCTCTCATTTTTGAAAGTCACTCTTACTTAGAGCTTGTCTTTGACCTGAGGAGTTCTTTTTAAGAAGACTGGAAAGAACTGATTTCCAGTGAGGATTTATCTCATTATTTGCCATGACATTTTCCTATCTGTCTTCCCATAACAGGATGATTCTAGTTAACACGTGTAAAAAGTCCCTGTCTACTTCTACTAACATCTGCCTGCTAATATCCTTTGGTCTGTGAACCCCCAGGACAGGGCATTGAAACATAGTAGTTTATCAAGGAATGAGTAATACCAATACAGGTAAAGAAGCCGGGAAGCACAGAAAGCAAAAGTGGGAAAATAAGGTTGTTGGGTTTTTTCCATGCTAGTACGACATGCAAATGAAGGAGATTAAGGTGGCCATTAAAACTCTAGTTTAGAAAACAAAACAAAATTCTTAAATGTGAGAAAAAAAGTGAAGATCTGGAACAGACTTAAAGCTAGAGTATTGGTGGAACATAAGCTGCTTAAAAGATAGAGGTTAATATAAAAGGGAGCAGACTGACCAAGAAGGTCCTGCCCATTCCTCTATTCTTAGGAGTAGGGATGTTAAGTGCAAGGTAGAAATGAAAGAAGATAATGAGGCATAAATGGAGAGACAGGAGGAGTGAGAAAATGAATGAATGCATGAGTAGATTAATTTGCACTGGAGGGGAAATTTTCAATGATGTATTTGAAATAAAAGCATGTAAAAGCCTTACTAAAATTTGCTTTGGGTTGAGACACTCATTTTGCACCATCATAAAAACACTGAATGTGGAGAGATGTTTGGGGCACAGCTGTGACAGTTTACACTGAAGATGCTTCAATTGTTTCGTACCAGAAGAGTTCAAAAGCCAAACAAATATTCTGCCAACACATTTAAAAGCCAGTAAATAGCTTAGCAAGCTGAATACACTAGGATAAGCTAAAGCTAAAAGTTCATTCTTTCAAGGCAAGATGGAGAATGAACAATTTCCCCTAGTAAGGGAAGGTTTGGCTTAT